TGAAAAATCCTTTACCTCAGTCTCTGCACTCCAGTATAAGCCACTGAGGCGATAACAGGGTCATTTTTATCTTAAGATCAGTAGTTTCACAGACAGGACTCTAGCTTGACGCTGGTTTGCAGCTTGACTCCAGTTAAATATATCAAGATGACATGAAGTACACTCTTACCCTGGAAACTTTTCCCCATCGATAGTTATAAATATACCACACTATTGTGCTTGGCACGCTGTATGCTAATAGAGGTGAGGGCTCTGAAACGCATTAGGAAAGGGAGCGGGCTGCGGAGTGGAGTGAGGACAGCGTGAAGCTAGGGGTGATAACCATGGCCTTGTCCAGAATAGGCCATGGGATTTTTCTTATCTCACTTTGGCAGGAGGTGCTGTGAGCTTCCTGTGCGAAATCAGGAGCATATGCTGCTTTCCTCTTGTTGTTTGGCTTCCTCCGCTACACAAGACGGTTCCCAGCACTGTGATTATCTTTGCATCTTCAAACATGGCACACTCTGCTTCCTCAAGAGCTGCATGTGTTCTTAAGAATCGGGCTGGCTCCCCTCCCCCAAACAACTTCTCAAGGGCTGCTGCGTGTGCCAGCACCACAGAGCAGAGGCTGTTTTTAAAATCGGGACTTCTGGTTATATAAAAGCCTGGCCCTTTCAAAGAAGTGTAAATTCCTGAAGCGAGGAGCGGTGAGCAGGTCTACCCATGGTCCCACATGAGCCCTTCAGGGAGYGCAGGCCTGCTGCTGCCCTGCACGCAGCGGCGCAGCGAGTGCTCCGCGCTTCCTGCGGCTCCGCCATGTCAGCCCCTGGCCCCTCCTTCCCCCTTCTCCACGGCTCCTTTTGAAATCCACAGGAGATTTAGTGGCTGCTGTTTTCCCAAGCGAATAGCCTATTCCTCAAGCTGTTGTCACAGAAGACCCCGGCGTGCCCCGGGCTGTGTGCGTGCTGCCGGGCGCCTCCGCGCACGCCGAGCAGCGCACGCGCACGCACGCACACCAGCACATGGGAAAAACCACTCAGGGGGGAGAAACCTTAATTTAAAATGAATTTCTCTGTGCAGGGAAAGGTAGAGGTGAAGAGGTTGCCCGGGGACTCAGGTTCCCAGACCTGCCGTACTCTCCACATGGCAGACACTTGTCAAATTATGCCAGAAAAGATCCTGATATTTTATTGCCTGACATTGATTGGGCCAAGATTTTGCTAGTAATATCTCTGTGCATTCCTCCCTGTCTTTAAAATAATGACAGAGACTTTCTTTATTTCTTTATTTTAAGGCTCTATGTTCTTTGGAGATGGAAGAGCTTACATGTGTACAGTGCTGATGGTGGCACACTTCTGATTCTTACAGCCAGAGAGGGAAGGATCCTTAAATCATGATTACTCTGATTATCCTAGCATTAGAATTAGTCACTATTAGTGATGTCTCTTACATCCATCTGAGATTGCTTAGGATATATAAATATACATATGTATACTCACATACAGAGTATTTATTGTATAGGATCTCTACACATGTGGTCCCACTTCTGGGACCACAACATAGGAATATTAAAGGATATTCAGGAAAACAGGTATAAGAACTGCTTAGAAAAGTCCTGGCAGAACCTTAGCTTGTTTATCAACCTCTGTGCACACTGTGTGCTTTTTCACTAACCTGGCAGGAGCCCTGCTGTTCACGTTCCTGAATATGCAAAGCAATGAGGCTCATCCTAACAACAAAAAATTTCAGGAATTCATGAACTCCAGAGGTTCAGATACTCAAAATTCAGTGGGATTTCCCTTTAAGCACAAACATAAGTAGTGCCTGTTATACATAGGATACTCTTRGTATTTTACTGAGTGGATAATTTGAAGGAACTTGTAAATTCCTTCGAAGCCATAAAAATATGCAGCTGAAGTTATCCGAGGACGCATGTAGGGAAACATCAGTTGAACTAATTAGAAGATGACTGTATTTTASTCTCATCCAGGGTAAATTTTTATACTTCTTTTCCACTTCTTTCCAAGCATCTGTGCTTAACATAAACATTTGGTTTTATAACTGCATTTAGTTCAGCAGAATCTTTTCTTTTTCTGTTACAAAATGCCTGTTGTTAAAAACTGAAGTCAAGAACATGATTTTTAGTTACTCCCATTTGTCCCTTGTCCATCTCTAACCAAGGCATCTGGCTTAAGTAGCACTACTGAAGGCAGAAAGAGGCAGAATGACTAAGTACTCCTCTAAATAACCATCCGGGAGGCTGAAGATGGTTCTTATTCTGTCCTTAAGACGTGTTTGTATATTTGAGCCTAAGGTGAAGGAAGAAAATGTCTTGTTATATATCCAAAGGCAGGAATCTTGTTCCAGGTCTATCCTGGCACCCATACTCCAGCTGATCCATAGGTGTCAACATGACTGTGGAACTGAGGGGACACAGTACATTAATAGTTGCATATCTCACTGTCTACTACTGACTAGAGAAACTGTTTGATAAAGTATTCTCAGCTTGACTTTGATTTCTTTTCTTCTTTTTTAATTTAAAACCTTGAGTAACAGCTATTAAGAGCATTTGGTTTTCTATTATAATGGCACTAACGTTGTAGTTGACAGTTTGAAGAGAATATTGTAGGTGAAGTTAGCAGAGTTCACATATGTGCCTCTGGACCTAATATTTTCTCTGGTATTTTCCATGTGCTTTCATTGTTTTTGTGATGTTATTGTAATTATGATGGTGGTTTGTGTTATGATTTTAAGAAGTAATCAGCTACCCATTGTACTAGACATTAACAAACACGTAGCACTGTACTGTCCTCACCCCTAAGACATTGCAGCCTACATATATATACATACTCCTTTTCAAGCACCTACAAGGAAGACTACAATAATATCTGAGTCCACAGGTCACAGAACAGAAAGAAATGAGACTTAAGATAACTGTCAGAGATGCTTGAAGGATTCCTGAATATACATTATACCTTCTCCTGGTCCTGTACTTGAGTATCAGAAAGGATGTTTATTGCAAAGAGGATAAATTTCCAACATTGTAACAAAGAAACATAAATTCATTCTGCAAGGAAAAACAATATTTTCATCTCTCTGAGAGGATGAAAAAAAAAGAAGATATATCAGTATAGATGAAATGAGATTCTAGAATCTCTGTATTTCCGTGCAGATATTGCTCCAATATCCAGTTACACAGATGTGTCTTTGGAACTGCCTATTTGTGTGCATCTGATACTGGCATCATAAACTAAATTCTGAAACCTGCTATGGCATGGAAAAGTTATTGTCCCGCTTGTACTGGCAGTTCTTCTGAGTTACAAAACAAGAGCATTTAATTCTCTTAAAACATTAAATGTGCAAAGTAAAGGAAATGTGCAACATAAATGGGATCTACTTTATTTTTTTTTCCATCTGAATGGATAAGCTATATTCATAGAGCTGTGTTTCGCCACTCTGCCTACAACAACCATTTCTCAGAAGCCAGAAGCTGGCTTTTAAACCAGTGGCTGGAATCTGTGAATTAAATGSTTGGATAGTTAGGGTTTCTTGCTTTACTGTTGCTCTCCATCCTCAGTCTGTGCATAAATGGCCACGGCTTGTTCCTATTTTTTGGCTTTTTTGGCTCACTGGGTGCACATTAAGAAATTTGGGCAAATGTTTATGTATCTATGCTAGTGATTWCAGCCCAAATTAGTTTATATACCATCATTTCTTTAAGCTGCAATGTCAGCTAACACATTGGTCAGCTTGACGCMATGCTACCCAAGCAATCACATAAAGCTAATGTACCACAGATACTATAAACAACACAAARCTTAAGCAAACTGCACAGTTAGTTGAAGGGAAATGAACTTCATTCTTAGGTCATGATTGCATGTTATCCAGTCATCAGGATTTAAAGGTCATTTTACCAAAGAACCTATGTATGTATGTACRTAGAGATATAGAGATAGATAGAGGGTACTATGGTAGTTATTTTCAAAATTCATGCTAGATCAAAGGAATATAATATATTTGAAAGAGCTTGACCCTGATGAAGGGTTAAGTTCCACTATTCAAGCTGGAATTGAAAAAGCAATAACTAGATTTTGGATAAAAAACAAATTTAGATGTCCTGAAAGAACAATAGGGATGGACAGAACTTAAGAAGCATTCCAGCATGCTTATTTCCATGTGTACCAAATTAAGCTTTGGGAAACAAATTAGCTCTACCATGACCACACCTGAATGTTCTGATTATAAGCCAATTTGTTGTGTAAGGCATTTTTTTTTCCTGAGATTTCCATTCATTAACATGTCTTTGATTTTTTTTCAGATGAAGTGAGCGTTTGAATCCCTTTAGCAGTTTGGGATCATTTTGTTTAATTTTGTTTTTATAATTTGAAAGATTCTGCATATTTTTTATTTTGCAAGTCATTGAATCACATTATTGATAATTTACTATTTTGTAATATAAAATACAGAAAATAACGAGAAATGAGAATTTGCATCATTTTCATGGTAACTAAAAGAAMATGCACATAATGAAATTGCATCCAACATATTATCAAATAGACTTTGAAACAAATATAATTTATCTTGAATTTTAAGGCTGAAAATAATATCAACTCATACATAAAGCCAAGRCTGTCATAATGCCTGAAAATTTAGGAGCACTTGTAATAGAATATTGACAGTCAGATTASAATTTATAATCTGAACTTAATTATAGGATGATGATGTGACACCAGTTTTATTTAAGTACTTTATATAGTACCTTAAATATATATAGTACCTTAAATGTTAACACTAACTCCAGAGAAATTATGTTTGGGGAAGGATTGTGAAAGTTGATCTGGTTTTCAGGCTCCAAACYGCAAGCTTTTATGAAATGTAAGTGTAATTGACTGGTAACCACAGCACCTGCAGTTTTTCTGGATGATATCATTGGCTCCAAAAGAGTTGTTTTGGCTTATACATTGAATTTTCCAGTCTGCAACCAAATCAATAAAGACTCATACAATTTTTGTTGTTCTCAGGCATGGCTTTTGCTCTTATACGGAAGGATCTTTCACCTTGAAAGCTGGCAGCATCCTAGGAAACAGAATCCAGAGCATCACAGAAAGAACGGCAGTAATAGAGGGCAAAAATAAGGTATGATTACCGGGAGAAAATAACYCTTTTGTGTGAAAGCATGAGTTGAAAAATACATCAAGAGGCTCTGTTGAGGTAACAAAGAAAAAAAGCAGTATTTTTATACTGTTTACATTTTAAGATCTGCATGCATGCAGAGAACTTCTGCACATGCAAAGAGAGAGTGTGGTGTTTATCTACTGAGACAGATAAGCACAAGTGCACTTATTCCTGCATGCAGTCTTATTAAGGTAAGTGACAAGACTTGAGAGGGTATTGGTGGGATTAGCATAGTGATTACCTAGAGCTGCCTTGTTGTATCCTGGGGCATCTCAGAAACACAGGCGAAGAGTTCCAGGCATCTTGTCTTCATTTTGTGCTATTGTGCAATTTCCTCTTGTTTTTCCTACGACAATAAAACAATTTACTCTCATTAGAAAGTTYATTCGCAGATGAAGGCCAAGGTTGCTAAATGATCAGATCTTCTTTTACAATAAAATTTTTAAAAGGACAAATTAATCTGGATTGCAGATGGAAAATTTGTGAGTAATCTCATCTAGAGATGCATGGTTGGTTTCATGCCATCTTCATTAACTAAATGTTAGGTGTCTAGTCTGAATCAAGCATCAGAACTACCTTTATGGGTCATGGGAACATGCAGGTATAATACAACAAACCCTGTCCCGTGCTATTGTCTCATATGGTGGAGAGAAACACTGAAATTAGCTTGCCAAGAGATTTGGGAGATTCTCCATCAGCTAAAACCTTTAAATCAACATGTTTTCTTACAGGATACCCTTCATCTGCTTTATTGGATTCTGCACCATTTGATGTGTTTGGGTAGCCTGTGCTATGCCAGAGGGCTGGCACTCCGGAGTACTTTGCCACTCTGACAGCATCTGGTTTCAGTTGAATTTATTTGATTCATGGCAATAATGACTAACAGGATTATAGAGCTGAAAGACTTTATTACACTAAAGCTAAAATTTCTCAGCRTCCTGAAGTGCTTATTATAACTCTTAAGTGAAGAGCATGGGGAATCCCTTTTCTTGATGGCTGCCTTCAGTTTTCTGCAGGCAAAAAGGGATATAAATCATAATTACTCTCATGTTAGGCCATTTTAACACCCCACAGCATAAGCAGGGCTTTRTATGCAGCCAAGAATGGGACCTGGGACTGCATTTTCTCTTGCTATTGTATTTTTTAAACATTACCACAGGTGTTCATTCATGGGAAGGGGGTGGTTCCCTGTGAGGCATTTGCTCTATTTATCTGGCCATCTCAACGTGATTAAAATTGGAGGCAAAAATGGGAGTGAAAGCACATGAAAAATGACACATATGGAGGGATCTACAAAAGGAAAAGAAAGTCATTGGAGGCACTGGCTGTCAGATGTTATTTCAAAGAAAGAACGATGAACAAAWGGTAATGAGGATCAGTTATCTTCCAGAAGACACCAAGCCATGCTACAAATGAAGCCCTCCATGCTCAAGGAGCTGGCTAATGAGCAGATCTCTTTCTCCTTGTCTGCCATGCGTTTTGGAGATCGGAGAAGAGGGGTGGCTGAAATGCCAGAGCAACTTCCAGGCAACAACCATGGCATCTTCCTCCCTGAAGAAAGATGCTAATAATGGTCTTTGCTGCAGAACTGCAGGCTCTGTTTGAAGTCTTTGACAAGCATTTGTTTCTATCTGYCCTGAACTGAATCAAGGGGTAGTCCATGTAACATGGAAAGTTTTGCAATGAAATTCAGTGGTTCATGTATTCCTTGTCTTCATGTTGATCCATCTCATATGGGTACCATAATGTGTTTTTGTTGTTGTTTTTGTTGTGTTTTTTTTTTTAAAAGGTGGGCATAGGGAAACAGTCTTTTTTTCCAGCTTTTTTTTTTTTTTTAATTTGTTTGTTTTGTTTTTGTGGCAATGCTTTTAGAGAAAAAAAGGGGTTTCAGTGGAAGCCTTTTGATTTACTTATGTTTTACATGCTTTCCTTGCTGAAAATGTGCTGGTTGCCTGTAGCTATCGAGCTCTCCACTCAGTGCAAATTCTTTTTGATTTTGAGAATTGTTTTCTTAAGGTCCCTTCTGTTCTGTTGCTCTTCTGTTCTGCTGCTCTTCCGTAGCTCTTCAAGCACAGCTGGACTGCTAGTGTAATTAGAAAATGCTCTCTAAGCATGGGTTTCTAGCCAAACCGTGAGTTGCATGATTTGTGTGTTCACAGCTGCTTTATAGTTTCCAGGATTTTTTTTTTTCCCCATGGAAGTCTATAGCTTTTCACTCCTTGCAATCCAATAGCCTTTTTGGTCTCCCAGAGCAAACTCAAAGGGACACAGTTCAGACAAAATTCTTCCTCATTGGCTGGGATATTGTAAGAAGGTCAATAGCACTGAGCTGCCTGAATGCAGCGTGTCATCACAACTGTCTGGCTCTGATGAACTGCTACTGTGAGCAGTTCTGCTACTACAAACAGCTATAAACAGCTCTCTGAGGCACTTTCCTATCAATGGAGTTCTGCTCTGAAAACAGAGTGTCTACCCCATTTCCACAAACAAGCCTAGCTAGCATGGTAAAGAAGCGCCTTAAAGCTCTGTGGAAACAGCAAAACAGCAGACAAAGCAGGAGGAAATGGATGAAGATACACAGGGAGTTCCACATTTTGGTTAGAATAAAAGGGGGTAATGGAGGTGACCAGAGGATGAAGCTATTGTGACCAAGAGAAGCAATAAATAAGGAGTAATCAACAGATTTCCATTAGTAACATCCAAGCTTTGGCCTTTTGCTTTGGTAGTTTGATTGGCTGGTGGGTTATCTGCTATTACACAGGGAGACACAAGTATATTTTTAAAATTACAGAAACTTCAGACCCCGTGTCTCTATGGTTAAAGCAATGCAGGAAGCCTGTGCTGCGCTATTCTAGTGGCAGAAACCATGACAACAGCAATGTATTAGTAACATTTCCGTTGAAACCTCTCTAAACGGACATTGAGAAACCTGAGTGGTATCATGGAAGAAGTTTGTGACATGAGACATAATACTTAATCACAAGATAACCCCTCAAGTGCTTTGATTCCCACACCCAAAGGTTCATTCTAATTTTGTTGGAGATTTTCAGTGACTTCCTACAAAGTTGCAGTATTCTTAGGCCAACAGTTCACAGTTTTTTTCCAGATAAAATCAACTGCTCTATATAATTCATGGCCAATACTGATTATTGTTCTTAGAACAACAAGAGTAAGTCTCTAAATGACCTGCAGTAGCAAGATATAACGAGGTGGTATATTCATTGGTGTCACTGCAGTATATATGTTTTCTCTTGMGTGTGCATGGGCCAATTTTTATTTATCAGTAGCTACAAAAGGAGTTTGTACTCCTTGTACAGAGATCCCAGGGACAAATCAGGGCCAGGACAGAGACCCTCAGGAGAATGCATGGATGATGGCTAATAAGGTGAGTTCAGGTGAGAGAGGCTAGAAGGTGCTGGCTGAGAACAAATTATGATAAATTCAGGAGAAAGAAGATGACAAGAGGGTTGATACATGGAAAAGTTGTCAAGAAAAGTTACCAAACTGTGGCCAAGAGGCCAATGGGATCCTGGCTGCATCAGGAGGATGTTGCCAGCAGGTCAAGGAAGGGGATCCTGCCCCTCTGCTCAGCTCTGGTGARGCCGCACCTGGAGTATTGGGGGCAGTTCTGGGCTCCCCAGTATGAGGGACGTGATGCTTCTAGAGAGGGACCAGCGGAGAGCAACTAAGATGATTAAGGGACTGGAACATCTCTTGTACAAGGAGAGATTGAGTGAGTTGGGCCTGTTCAGCCTGGAGAAGAGAAGGCTGAGAGGGGATCTGATTAACATGTATACCTGAAGSGGGAATGTAGGGAGGAAGGGACCAAACTGCTCGGTGGTGGCCAATGACAAGGGGCAATGGGTATAAGCTGAAACCCAGACAATTCCATCTCCATGTGTGCCAGAGCCCTGGAACAGACTGCCCAGGGAAGCTGTGGAGTCKCCTTCTCTGGAGATCTTCCAAACCCGCCTGGCTGCCACCCTGTGCCCCGTGCTCTGGGTGTCCCTGCTGGAGCAGGGGGTTGGACTGGATGATCCTTAGAGGTTCCTTCCAACCTCAACCATTCTGTGATTCTGTGAAAGCTGGAAGGAATGGCTCAGAAAATCTAGGTTTGAGGAAATAACACACTGGCCACATTTTGCAGAACCTCAGGTAGAACAGCTGGTCCCTGAGCACCCCATTCTTCTGCTGCTAGAAAATATTGGTATCCCACTGACAGTAGCACAAAAGCAAGGATGTGCATCCAGGAAAACTATATAAGGAATATTAACATTGAAGATGTAGTTTATATTAAAGGCTTTGTTCATATATTTATTCACCCATATATAAGACTACATAGATCTATATGTTTACATATACATTTGACCTTGTTGTTCTATATGTGTATATGTGTATATATAAGTATATGAAAAATCTTTCTATGGATAGATAGGCAGCCTTATTTGCACTGTGCAAGCAAAAMAAGATGGCCTTATTGACACAAGTTTTTAATGATGCCATCCCTTGAGTGAAAAAGCCACTTGACTTCAGACAAAATGGAAAGTAATGTCCCTGCTAGAAGATTCTRCAAAACCAAACCAAGGTTTGCCCTTACACATCTCTGGTTTGGCTCACTCTGATAAGTCGTTCTGGCATGTCAGCAGACTATGAGTGCTATTAAAACTGTGACTGTCCAACATCAACATGAAGCACAAGGTAGTCAGGARAGTTAGTCTAATATGCCATTGTGGAGAACAGGATGAATCCATTTTTCCTGCACTTGAAGAAAGGTGCAGGTTCYAGCCCTGAATCTCCAGTTCTTTTTGATGTCCCATCATTACTAAATGGATAAAAGGAACATCTGTTGTGTTTGCTGTCAGTTTCTATGCATTCRAATATGTCCACTGGCCCCATGGCATCCAAACCAGAAGAGCTGGCTCTCCCAACAACTGCATGCATTTTGTTTTTTTCTCCTCTAACAGCTGTTTTCCTTGCAACACATAAGATCTTACTAGTTTCGAGAAGTCTGTCAGTTTTAGTTGAAATCAAACCACAGGTTTAGAAATTACTGAGGGTGGAGTGAAGGAGAGGAGGCTCACAGACAGATGGACAGACAGATAGTGTGATCACATAATTTTCTTAGAAAGGCAGTCTAAAGATAGCACTGGCAGCTTAGCTTGCCTCTCTTTCAGCACATTGTAACTTCTCTTGGGGCCCTCCTGAGTGCTACTAAAATTGCTGTCAACACTTTCAAACATATCACTCCAGAGGTGCCAGCTGAGCCTAGTACTTGTTAAGTATTAAAACCAGCAGAATTTGGCACCTGCCTCTGCTGAGCTGTAACTCCTTCCTGCTGTTAAAATCAGTGACCTCCCCCAGAAACAAACACTGCTTTATTTTGTGTATGTAGAGCACTGAGAAAGTGCAAGGAGTGCATGTGCTGGTATTGCTGTCTGTGTCATGACCTCCTCGTGAGTCAGCTGGATGCACTTGGTCTCACAGCCTGCTCAGGCAGGACAGCCTGGGGTGCAATGGCAAAARCACAGCTCTGTTAGCTGAACAGACTGCCTGAGCTGGGGGCAAGAAGGCACTTTCCTGTGCTTACTATCCTGGTATTGGAAACATGTCAACAAGGGTTTCTTCTCCTGACATGGTGGCACTTCTGAGGATGAAACATGTTGTCCAGATGTTTGGCACTGATGCTTCTTGCCAAGATGTGAGGCATGCTGAGCGGATCATGTTCTTGGCACAGTAAGAGCAATCCAGTGGTGTGTCACCAGTGTTTCAGCATGGGTCTTCCTAACTAATCTCTCCGCTTTAGCCTTAGACAAATCAGGTCTTCATGGCTGATTGTAAGGCAGTGTAAGGAAGTGTATTTTCATTTGCTCCCTAGTTTTTTSACAAGTATTTTTTCTTAAAAGCATACCTAGGAGGGTATCAACAACATTTGGCAGACTTACACCAACCTGATCAATGCTGAAAGGACAATAATTTGTCTTTTATGCGTATGAGCTCTTCAGAGAAGTTAGCGTAAGAATCTCTGAATGGAGCATGTTTATGCATGTGTCTGTAGAGCCCTTCTAAGGCTAAAGAAAGGGTCTTGGTAACAACTGTTTTGTGAAACTTTCACTTGCTTAGCTGCTGTCAGCTGGAGCAGTTAAGAGACCTTTTACCAGTCTATTATGGGAAGAGGCAATTTCAAGGAGACACTCCAGAGAAAGATCAATCCATCCTGCTTCCAGGTCACAAAGCTTCATACTCCTTTTCCCAGTCTTTTCCTCCTCAGTTTCAATTATGGACAACTCTGCAATTTCCTCTTCCATCCCATGGTCTTTGTTTTACACTTTTTTTTTTTTTCCCTGGCAGTAGCTGCAGCAGTAAGTGATTCACTTCCCTCTGGCTCTGAAATGATCCATAGCACAGGGCTTGAGGTGAGCTTGGTACAGAAAGGAAGAAGGAAGGATCAGAGCTTTGGTTGTAAATGGGGTTTCTAACCAGTTGAGCATGTTCAAGATGTCARTGCAAGCCTGGAAAGGTATACTGTGTTCTGGCTGGTCATGGCAACCTGGTTCAGATTTTCTATGTATAATGTGGTTGCTAAACCAGGACCTGAAACTCTTCATGATCCATTGCCAAGCTGGTTGATATAAGCCCGTAAGACTGTTTTTTTCTCTTACTCCTTGTGCAGCAATAACTGTATGGAGGAACCATACAGCACAAGCTGATACTGAATAACTCTAATTACCCCAAAACCCAAACCATGCCAGCCTTAGCCTTTTACACACCACTGCTCTGGTGGGTTTTGGCTGGCATCCACAATGCAGAGCACAGTAGGCACCACTGGAGGGCTCACAAACTATTTAAAGAGATGTTATCTTATCCTTATGGCTAATTTATAAGCTAAAAGACATAKGCAGGCACATTGTGTCACCAAAGATTCTATTCTGTTGCAAAGCTAGCCTTTCTCTTTCCTAGATACTGCGTTTATCTCTGTATTAGTCAAGTAAATATACCAGTGACAGCTCTGTGACACTAAGACCAGCATATGAAGAATGACCAGTGTTCATAACATAATTTCTCTTATCCTTCAAAAAAGGGTGGTGGCCTAAAAGTTGCTTTTTGGGAGTGTTGGTTGGTCTGTAGTAGAGGAGTGCTTGGGACAATGCAGGTTAGTCCAAACCAAAGCAGTGCTAGGGACATGTTAAAAATTTAACAGTATAAATCATAGAGTTTTGGTGCCCAGGAATGTTTCCTAGAGGCATATAGTACATGAGTACATAATGTGTAGCCACTCAGATTGGTAACTATAGTCATACTGCTTATGTGCAAGTTTGTAAGCAAACCTCAGTTTAGTAAAGGTAGCAATCATGCCGTAGTGGGCTGGACCAGTAAAACTCACACATTACAGAAAATTTTCCATTAAAAACTAATAGCTGATAGTGTCTTCAATACTACCCCAAAAAAGTCCTAATTACCATGGTGGAAGGAATATTTGCAGTGTACTCCTCAGGCTCAGAAAACTCTGGGTCTTAGTGTAGTAGGATAAAGATCAGGCATCCTGCAGTTAGAAAGAGTGAGTCTCATTTTCCTTTACTGTGTATTTTATGTCATTGTTTCTACCTTTTCTAAGTTGCTATGAGGTCATATGAAGAGCTAGAAGAAAGCCTAATCTTGTAATGGAGAATGTGGAACAGTAGAAACAGTTTTTAACCACCCACATAGGTATCCAGGAGATATTACAGGACTTCTATTCTCAGTTAATATTGGCAAAGGGGCTTCAGGAATCCTACTCTGAACCCTATGTCCACACTTTATGAAATGATGTTTAAAAAATGGATGGAATTCAAAGAGAATGACAAAATATTGACAGGGATGAACCCATGCTTTGTAATTAGACATTTATAGAGATCAGTCTGTTGAATTTAGCAAAACAAGATGATTTYTTTCAAGAGATGTAATTATCTCCCTGGTGTTACTGAGCCTCTTTCATCTCACAGAACAAATTAAAAAAGGTAAGTAAGTTAGAAAAATTCTAATTGAAAATGAGATGCAACTTGTTAGCAGACAGATAATTGACCATCGATATAACTTAGGGATACCGTTAGTGTCACTCTTAGTTCTGAATTTGCCACAAAGCATTTTCTAAAACAAATAATCTAGACAAAACCAAATGACCTCACTCCACTATGCTTGCTTGAGTAGCTGGAAAAATAATAGTCTCTCTGCTAAAGACTGTTCTGGGATACCAGCAGGTGTGTAATATGTGGAGGTTAAKAAGGAGTTTGGGGTTGGCCATGAAGTCTCTGAATACGTGACATAGAAGCAGTATGAATGCTGAACTAGTGTTTATAAAGAAATTCAGACAACTGGTCTTTATTTAGCATTGAACTGCCCTCCTGATCTTGTCTCTGGATTCCAGCAATCAGACAAACTTAAAGGAAGAACGTTTTAATTGCACAAAAACATTTTGAAAGTATATAGGAAAGAAAACTCAAATAATTGAAAAAAGCAAAATTTAATGGCCACAGAATTTCCTTCATCGCTGTCATSATTCTACTTACAATTCCCATTGGAGCATATTTTACAGAAGAATGAATGCAGAGACACAAAGACAGAAGAACAGGACAATGCATCATCCAAGAGCACTCCCCACTGAATGCCCCTTATCTCAGCTCCGTCTTAATGTGGTACAAAGTGCAAAGAGTGCACAAAAAGAGTGCAAAGTAAAAAAAAATCTTACAGGATGATTTAATGATAGAAATATTAATGATAGAAATATTAAATGAGAGAAGAGGAGATCATCCCCTCAAAATAGAGAGTAAACTTCTGGTTTGCTCCTGCCCTTTTTCACCTAKCACTTAAAAGAGAATGAAAGTGAAATCAGATGCATTTAGAGTCCAATAGAGATACTCTTTTCCCAGTGTTGTCCAAGTTGATCTTCAGCTKGTTGCTTTGCTGGCTGGCTACTTGGAGGCTGGTTGTCCCCTGGCGTGAACCATGTTGAGTCACACTTTGTGTTCTCTGATTTATCGTTATATCAGCAAGAGATAAGTCAACCCGAAAGATACATTCAAAGATTTTTCGTTGTGGTGGCTCTGATAAAATAATGGTCTCCTGAGGAGCTTGTTTCCTGTTATTTTTCCAGTCTTTCCGAAATGGTGACATCTTTAAATAGCCTCTAACATGCCTGTCTCTGGATGAATGGAGAGACTGAATCTTACGAGTGTTAACAGTGATTTAGTAAAAAAGAGAAGCTTTTAAACAATTTGATGATCCACTGAGAGCTGAATTTCTTCTTTCTTTTGCAGACCGCTAGCACTCTGGTTGTAGCTGATGCCAAATCTTCCGGAATCTACAGCTGCGTGGCAGCCAATAAAGTGGGGAGAGCTGAAAGAAACATGAGCTTTATTGTGACAGGTAAGAKGCAATCCCTGCTAAAGCCAAAAGTGCTCCCTGATCCTGGAAGTGTTAGGTTATCGTGGCTTTTACACATCCCAGACCAGAAGAACTATTGTAACATCTACATTTGTAAACTCATACCGTGCTTTTAAGTGTTTCTGGTAGGATTTTTCCATGCAGATGGTTTGGATTTCTAAGAGGAGAACCAAATCTGATGAGTGACATCCCTCCATCAAGGATCCCAGCATGGCCCAAAATACTTATAAACACAGCAACCCTCAATATGACCTTTATATTGCATGACCTCTGCAGTCATTTTGTACAAGAAGGACTACTGTATTTTTACCAGTAACTCAGTGTCCTTTGTGGCACTGTTGGTTTTTACAGGTCTCTCAAACCAGCAGGTCTCACAAAGGTAACTTAGAACAAGAAAGGGGGCTGTGGCACTTGGCAGCCTCTCCCAGGTACAACAGCAACTTAAAGGCAGAAAAATGGCAGGGTGAAAAATACTGAATTATATTCCCTCTCCTGAGAAGGACTTTGGATGCTGCTTGGGCCATGGCACTGAAAAGGCTCATATGTGTTAACTGTGCATATGAATATGCTTCTGTCAGTGGGTGCGTGTAAGTGTTTGCACGTTCGGAAGAAAGAAAAAGAAGGAAAAAAATAGAYGGCCTGAGTTCAGGAATTACTGAAAAAAAAAAGATGGATTTTCTAAGAATGACTACTGTATGATATAGCAGCATAATTTCCACACATGATATTTCAAAGGATCTATTTTATGGCGGAAGACTTCCTTTCCAATTTGTTTACAAAGTGATAGCTCAGGGAGCACTTAGGCTAATGACACCTTTTAGGAGAGGTCATTAATGTAATTTATTCCTAAATAAGAGAGAGAACAAAAGGTTATGACATTCTGATATTTTAATGTCAAAATCATAATCTAGACGCTGAAAGGGAAAATATAATATTTCCTTTTTTTTTTCTTTTTGTTTTTCTGTAACCTGTTTCTATTATCAACCTCTTATCATAGTGATGGTTGATTTTAATGAAACTCATTATGTTACTGAGAATATCAAGAAAGACCAGGCACACATTCACTAGAYCTGGTTACAAAAGGGCTAGGAAGAAAACTTCCTTGTAAAATGGATTTCTGTCTTCATTTATGAACCCAGACTTATGAGTGTTCTGATATATTCGCATTTAGGAAGTGAGAATTGTTTATAAATTTGGAAATCTAGCAGTAAGCATGAGAGCTACTTAATGAAAATTAAACTGAAAAAGAAACATAAGCAGGCTGTTTGTTAAAATATGAAAACAAGAATAATATATTCATGTTATATGAGAGGATGGGCCACGAACATTTGAAGATGATTATTGCTATGGTTCTAGAATCACAATTTTGCTCGATCCATACCCCTAAATTGTGTCTGTTTGGACAGAAAACTAAGCAATAACACATAGCTTTCCATGAATTAATGTGTTAACTGAGTTGTATTCTCATCTTTCTGTGGGGACTTCACGTGCAGCTTTGAGCAGTACTGTGAGTGATTTACAGGGGTGGTTGATTTTATAATATGCAAGATGCAGAATTTAGCATTCTCTAGCTCCTACTCCTGAGTTTTCATGTAAGACCCTGAGGCTAAATGAAGCTGAATTTTGAAGGGCCCCACTTGCAGTACCCAAATCTCCCTTTCAAAGTTTTGGATGGCAGTTTCAGATAATTTAGTACTATCACATGAAGGTGTTAGTTTCCTTTTTAGACCTCACATTCTCAGCTCTTAATCAGGCCTAGAAGGAAATCCTTCTCCTTGATACCAAAGCCTGCCTGTAAACATGCAGAATATTATGACTTTTCTTTGAAGACTCTTGCATTGGCTGCTGTTCAGAAAGAGGAGTGGCTGCTTTATTTTGGCTTGGAAATCCTTAATGTCTTGACTGGTGGCAACCTTTCTATACAGGGTGGTGATGTTGCAATGCGTTTGTGTCCTTTGAGTCCCTTGAGCTGAGCTCTTCAGTTGTGTGACATGGAAAGTCCTGTTCATCCGCTGACGCTCAGTTGTGCTGATTGAACGCAGCTTGTTTAAACAAAACTGCTGTTCTTATGAAAATCAAGTTGGACTTATCCTCCTGTTTTGTGCAGAGAATGCAGCACTTGAGCTTTCATGATATAGTCGTAATTTTCCTCTGGTCAGGCTGTGACCAAGCTGCCATGGTTGGGTAACTCTCTGTGTTTCACGTCAGCTGAGAAGCAAATGCGTCACTTCTCTAGTCTTTGCTGAAACACACACTGGAGGGATAAAAAATGACAGCCAAAATATTAATGGATGTGAACTAGCAGACACTGCAGAGGGTTTCTTTCTAATGAGTCCAAAATGGATAATCCAGGTCTCTGGACTTTGTTCATTTTATGTTGATGGAGCTGCTGGAGCCACATGAAGCCAGCCTGAACCCCAGAAAACTGAGTGTAAGAGAAGAAAATGTAACTAAGAGGTGATCCCTTGCAAGAAGAGAATCAGGCAGGAGAAACAACTAAGGAATCCTGTTCCCATTCAATCTCATTGAGACCTTGTCCAGAGGATGAAGAAGGCATGTGCTCTAGTGAAGTTGCTATGCTGGTGTGAGAAGGCTCTTTTCTAAGTCTTGGTTCTTCCCAGCTGTAAAAGAAACCTTGGATAAGGTGATGGGAAGGCAGTGCACACCCCAGCCACATCATTTTTGCAATATTCCTTGCTGCAGGGAAAGATAGCAGTAAGGAAGCAGGTGCAAGGAAAGATATCAGAGAGGTCCTAGCAAGAACAAGCTCTTGCCTAAATGATTCCAGATCTCGTTATTTCTGGGCTTGCATTGCAATCTACATGTGTGTTTTTGGGAAACTAGAGGGTAATGTGACTTTATAGCCTCTGCTTGAGGCTGGTGGATGTGAAGTCCTTGTGCCCAGGAACAGCTTTGCTCTCCTGCTGCCTCTGCCAGGTGACGGGCACTTTTGGGGTGCTGTCACACTGACTTCATTCTAAAAGCAAACCCAGGGAGCCGTGCTCCCTATATCAAAGACACAGACAAGGTGGTTTCTGAAGTTCTCCTGCTCACTGATAGTTTAGCAGCCTCTGTAGCAATACCTTTATACCCAAGTTAACTGCAGGAGCCCCCTTTCCCCCAGGCTGCCCCTTTCCCTACTTTTGGGGCTGTTTTGCTGGCACACGGCAGACTCATGGGTGTGTTTGCAATTACAGAGGGTGAAACAGGAACAGCTCTGCCTTATCTCCCTGGTTTCCCAATGTCACTAGGCGCATTTTATTTTGAGATTCCTGATGGTGCTTGGCAAAGATAAACAAAATCTTCCATCAGGAAACCTGGGAGCTATTTCCACAGGAAGCTCCAAATCACTAAAGTAAATAAAACCCTTTTACATTATTCTCAGCTACGTTATTTAGCTAGCCTAAGCCTGTAACAATTGATGAGAGGTGTCATATATTAGGGACTTGTAGTCTTTAAACAAATGATTTGCTTGAAATCCTGTGCATTTTGCTTTTGTCCCTAGATTTATTCATAAAATAGCCTGTCTTTGGAGAAGACACATCCAGGAAAAGTTCCAGACCTAACAACATGGAGTTGTTGCAGCTACATTATTCTCTTGGCATGCTGTCCTTGTATGTTAAAAATAGCTCTGTTGCTCTCAGTCCCAGGGGATCTTTAGTTTCATCTTAAAAGTTTTGTTTGGCTCTTCTGGGCTTTTGCTGGCATTTTCAAAAGCCAAAATCAGCAGTATTTCAAACCAGTACCCTGGCTTTCCCAATACATATCAGAACCAGTTCAGATCTAATGTGGAGAAGACACAGTGATTTCTTGGATAGTTCCAAGTAATTACCAACAAACATCTGGGCTCTCATTGGGCTTAAGTATTGGGCTGTAGTGCTTTTTAACAAAACCAAGTACAGTATTCACTCCATCTCAACCTAAAAGTTCGGTATCGAAATCTAAGCTGGTCATGTAGGGCCACTCCAAAATTTGACTTGTCTTAAAGCACATGGTTTGCATAACCCCCTGGAGGTGCCTGCCTCACTCCGAGGGCTGCAAGACTTTGCCCATACAGAAGAGAATTCTGTTTCAATGGTTGTCTACACTTGGACAGCTATAGCTAAATATGCTTTATCTGTCTCTGGGGAAAGGTTTGATCTTAGCTCTTTTGCCTGACACTTATTTAATTAAGATCAGAATCTATCACCATGTGCTCTGAGCACACCTGAGATGTTGATGATAGTCATGTACAAATAAGTTCATTAAATTTATTTTTTTCTTACTACTTCGTTTCCTGGAGAGAGGAAAGAGATACCAAAGAGGAACCCAGCAAGCCTCTGGGCTTTAAAATCCAATCCAGTGTCTTGAAGTCACAGCTTCCACTTCTTTAATCTCTGGCATATCTGGATGCCACCCAACAACAGGCTCGCACACTGTCCATGCTGCAAGGACAAGATGGGTTCACACCACAGCAGTCGGGYGTTTCCCTGGAAAGTGCCTACAGTTAAAGGGAATTTCCATCTGGCTCACAGGAGCTCAATTGAGCAGTATTTAACACTTTGAGCAGTATTTAACACTCAGTGCTTAGGCTGGAAGAGAAGATAGTCTTTCTGCTAGGTTGGTCAATCAAGAAAAGAGGTTACAGAAAGCTGGTGGAGGAATGATTTTCTGGAGCCCATGATTTTCTGGGCAGAGAACTGCAGGGCTGATTCACAGGCACCTCAGAGGGCCCCAGTCCAGGATGGTCTGCTCAGCAGGATGGTCTGAACTTGCACTTCTCCTTGTGCTTATCTGCTGCTGTGGTTCTAGCCCTCAACTGGCATCGACAAGGCTGGAGTTGAATGGCAGCCTGTTTCAAGTGGCACTTGCTCCAAGAGATAAGAAAAGAAGGCATTAATTTTCCCTTACAAACTACTACGACTCTGAGTCAAGTTCACAGCCAAGTGTCCTAGCAATTAGGAGGTAAAGAACAATTGAAAATGGCCAAAGTCGAATTCRCTTAAAGAAGCAGAAGGAAATGCCTTTATCAGCATATGGCTACAAATAGCCCAAGAGAGGTTGCAGGCAAGGGGGGAGACTTGGAACTGTTTTCTGCCTGGAACTTGCTTCTACTTTCACTTAGGCCAGTGGTGTAACCTGAGGGCAAAGGCTCAAATGGAGATAGTGGTGAGGTGGCCAGCTCTGCCCTGAGGTTCTGCCCTTCCCTGTGTAGAGGAGAGTGCACTAATGTTATAAAGACCTGCAAGTGGATTTTTTACATTGCTGGATAAATTTGTTCCTGCCTAAACTGTCTTCTAGAGATGATCTTTGGTAAAACTTACGTCATACTTACCCTTAGCCAACAGTTAGTGTAACGATCCATGATTTTTCCCAAGTGACAATATTACYCTCCTATACTTAATGGCAAGTAGTCTGAGGAGAGTGGTATTCATCCTATGTGTGGCCTGCAGCCAGCTGGTCACCCTCGTAAGTCAGTGGTGCTCCTGCTTTCCTCTAGKATGGTTGATGTGTTAAATGTATGAAGAGTAAATACCTCTCTTCCGGGGAGATCTCTGACATTTAATCACAGATCAAGTAATTTCTCAGGATTTAAAAGTGCTTTAAGAACTAGATATCATATGTCCAAATACTTGTGAATGACATGAAAACAGTATAACCAAATATGATCACCTGGAATATCTTTCTCTTGTCCTCTTGAGATTCATTTTCTTTCAAACAGTTCATGAACTAAAGCTGATATCACAATTTSTTTTCCTTTTTCATAATTCCTATTCATTTTATTTAAATAATTCTGCTTTTAGTACCTTGTCCTAGTCTGTCTTCACTTGGTGGGCATAACTTTTGTACAAGCCTCTTGCTTATGAGAGCAACTTCAATTTACACCAAGTGTCTTGTAAGTCTGTGGCAAACTATAAGACTACCTGGAGCCTACGTATAAAATGAAAGGTTAGAGACATCAGCAGCAGGAAGATGGCAACGTTGATTATTTGAAAGATGTCCAAATAAAGGGAGGGGGGAAATATAGTTCAATTTTGGCTCATTTTTTTCATATAAACTAAAAAGTGTTCTTCATTATTGACAGATGTACCAAATGGATTCCATATTAATTTGGAAAAAATGCCTATCGAAGGAGAGAATTTGATATTGTCCTGTTCAGCCAACAAATTCCTGTATAAAGACATTGCCTGGATTTTACCGAGGACAGCAAATAACCAAACGAAGACAAAGAAGTCTCTCAATAAGGAGCACTCCGTCACCCTCACACTAACCATCAAGAACGTTTCCCTGGCGCACTCAGGCACCTATGCGTGCAGAGCGAGGAACATAAACACGGGCAAAGAGGTGCTTCAAAAGAAAGACGTTACAATCAGAGGTGAGCACTGCACCAAAAAGGCTGTTTACTCTCGGATCCTCAAATATAAAAGCACAAGGAATGATTGTACAACACAAATCAATGTAAAACATTAAAGGACTCATTAAACAGTCACAGGTGTCTCCTATCATCTTGATTTTCTATCGCTGTTGCTACCTTTCAGGCCCTGAGGTAGTGGACATTCCCCCCTGGTTTGGACCTAGGAGGAATAGCAAACCATAATGCGGGAGCTTCCAGTTGAGTTCAGATGGGTGTTTTCTGCTTTGACAAAGCACRTGGAAGCTGGGGTTTGGAAGATCCCCTGTGCTACATTTTTGCATGTTTGTTTTTTTGTTTTTTTCTTGCTGTCTCCTACTGAGCGATCAGGAAAACTTTGGATCAATCATTCCTTCCACTTTGATATCGGCCTCGTCAAAAGTGTCAAAGCTGAACAAACTGGTTAACTTTAAAAACTGCTGTTTTCAGTCAACAATGGACATTTAATAAGTTAACTTTAATGTGCAGAATGAGCACAATTCAGTTTGAGATTGACTGGACTATATATTTTTTATTTTAATCTGATCTTGATGGACTTATAAATATTACCTGCTGAGCAAGTTCTAATGCTTATTTATTTGAAATTATTTTCTACACTAAAGTACATTAATCTTAAAAAAGTATCTTCTAAAGGAAGTATGCAGGGAAGAAATAAAAATGTTGATATAATGCACAGATCTATCATATCATTTATAATAATGACCATTTTAAAACTGACAGATGCGAACCATGTTTCTCCAAATAAATGCAGGTAGTTTTCCAGTTGCTGTGTTGGTCACTTTTTAAAGTCAGTTCTGCACTAATGTAAAAAAAAAAAAAAAAAAAAAAAGCTTTTGAGAAAAATGTGAATATTGTTCCTGACCTGAAGATACCTGAAGGAATTTGTAATGTTGTAATTATTTTATTAAAAGAGACGTATTACACTAACACCACTGACAAGATTGCAGCCAGCACAGTGAAATGTTTAATACATTCTTAAAAATATAAGTTCAAAATTAAAGCCATTAAAACTATCCCTTGCTTTTTGTATGCGAATGAGAATTGGATTTCTTACGGGGATTCAGAATCAGCCAAACTGCTGAGGGAGAATTAAGGGCAATCTAGAATTTCCTTGTAAATGTTTCCCCTTTCTTTTCCTTCTTCATGGTTTTAATATGAGATGTTTCTGTGTATTATAAATTCTGTATGAGGAAGAAGTTGCTATTTTTAATAGATCTGATAACTTTATTTTTTTACAGTACATAGCTTTTATTATTTTGGTTACATTTATGATTGATCATTTATATAGCATTTACATAAGCCATAACAAAACAGTCCTTAGTGACCAAAATAGCTACAGCAAAGGAACAAAGTGGCTGTGCTTTAAAATAGAGGGTGACAACATGACAGTTTCTGGTGCTTGGGAACTCACCAGACAATTTCCTCCTTTAGGTATCGGGACCGTGTCCCACGGCTAAACTTGCATTTCACGTGGGAATTGCTTTTGTCGAGTGTGAAAGGGTAAACAATAGCATTTCCCCACAGTGCCAGTTTCACGGAGCCTAAAATGCTTCGAAAACAATTGATAACCTGGAAGTTGTCAGAGTAAAGRAAAGAATAATCATTTATATCTTGAAATGTCACCTATAGCCTGCTTGTATACAGTTGCTCTTTTGTTCATTATTAGCATGATGGCTTCCAGAAACAATATGTTCTTGCAAAGGAACTTGGGTCTCTTTAAAAATAATAATAAAAAAAGATGCCTAAAAAGCAAGTGAAATAATTGGGAATTGCTTTAAAATGGGGCAATGCATGGTTTGCATGCATTTTCTGCATGCATACTTTTTTTTTATGCAGGGTTTGCATACCCACAGCATTTCCAAGTTTGCAGGAGAATTACAAAGCAGAGCACCCCCTTTTTGTCGAGGCTATTTTGCGAGCAGACATTCGATGGCGAGGTGGGCGACGATGACAGGACATTACGAATTTTCCCTGGCCTCGAGGGCCACGGCACGGCGACTCGCGGCAGGCAGGCAGTCGCCTGGGGGTGAGGCTGTTCCTCTATGCCGTTGTCACCCAAGGATGTACACGGCATTTCTGCCAGGCTGGGCTCCAGGGATGCTCACAGGGCCACGCTGCACCGCCATGTGTTAACCCTTCGTGTCGGGATGCGTCGAGGAGCCTCCCTGGAAATGCTCGAGGAAAGCAGTTCTTGGTGGCCAGCTATAAAGCTACTGTCACTTTTGGTGTCACTTAGACAAATGGAGAATCTCAACGATTTTTGGAGTTTCTCTACCTGCTGTTGTGTTATATATTATTTAGGGAGAAAGGTGTGGAATATATTTTTTTTTTTTTTAAGTGTTAAAATTGAAGCATGTATTTATATTTTTGCACTGGTTAATAAAAACAAATGAACAAACAACCGAAAGCATAGCAAAGGGCAAAAATACCCCCAAATTAACAAATTTGAATGTTTTCCCTCATGCTTGCTTTCGGAAAAGGAAGGTTTTCCTCCTYGCTGCCCCTGTTTCACTGGGTGCTCCAAAGCCAGGGATGCTCCTCGGGGACCTCCTGCAGCTCCCCCAGGCCAACCTCTGCCTACGATGAAGTTCCCCAGGTGTAACTGAGAGCAGAATTTGGTCTGGAAAGGCAGGGCCCATGGCTCTGCAGGGGCTCTGAGCATGACGTTTGGGCAGCAGCATCTCAGCTCTGCCTGCGCTGAGAGCAAGTGAAGGCAAGTCCTTCAGCTTCAGGGTGAGCAGAGCTGGAGTTCACTTGGAAAACATTCCCTTTGACTTTCCTGCAAAAACAAACCAGGGAAATAGGTGGTTTGCAAGAGCAACCTGCAAATTAACCAAATCTGTGAAAAATCAGCTGATTGCAGCAGAGAACTATTGAGAATATGTGAATGGTGACAGGATCTAAGTTTTAAGCAAGGAAGTTCTTAATATGGAAACCCATCTCTAGTGTATGGTTATAAACAAATTAAAATTAATCGCAAATAACCCACAGAATGTGTGATTTGCCTTTGTTGCGTCTTCTTGTCCTCCTTCTTTTCGAAAGCCTGGGTTGGGGTGTCCAGTGGGGACCAGTGATAATTGGGAAATGTGGTCTGTGTGTGTGAATGTCTGTCAATCTATGCCTGGTCATAGACAGGTTGTTTTGTGAAGCCTGAGAACCGTGCAGAAATCAAGGAAAGATATAAATGACAAGAGGTCAGCCTGCCCGGCGGCAGGGAAATTGTTGTTAATGCTGTTGTGTAGGTATTTGCTAAAACATTTATTCATGGCTGCTCTCATGAGCATTACTGTTTATGAAAGGAGAACAGACTGTCTACGGCATTGTAAACAAATTGTAGGATTACCCATGGAAACACCAGACTTGCAGCACATAAGAGACCAAGTTGTCATTAAGAGTTCGTGACTATGTTGGAATTAGGAGCATAGCAAAAATGGCCTATTTTAGAAGTCCTGAAAAGTTTCTAGTACTACAGGGTCCACACACACTGGATGAACTGGTGGTACGTTGGTTCTTAGTTGTTTTGGAGAGTTTTAATTCACAACTGGTAATAAAATGTTTGTGATGATGCAAGTGTCTGACAGACAATAGAGTCAATTTTTCTGAAAGAGTAGAGTATGTTCGTCCAAACACAGAATGTCATAAATTCAGCTGATAATGAACTTGGTGTACCGATGTCTATTGTGGTCCAAAAGAAAATACTTTGCAAAGGATGATTTATTTTATTTTATTTTATTTTATTTTATTTTATTTTATTTTATTTTATTTTATTTTATTTTATTTTATTTTATTTTATTTTATTTTATTGATTTCTTTTATTTCCTGCTATTTTTTGCTATTTCTTGCTACTTCTTGGGTTTTTAATGTGTTTCACACATTAAACACAGGCAGTGTCTTGAAGGGAAAATTGCAAGTAATTGATTCTTGAATTGAACAGAAAATCCAAGGGAATCTGCATCTGTGAGTTTATTWAGGGATGCACTGGGTTCTCCAGCACTACTTTTAATGCATAAAAATATCAGAAGGGATCATGTAAGAAGTTGCTATTGTGACAGAAAGATGTTGTTACATAATGAACATAAGTGTGGCATATATCTTGATTTTTGTCAGAAGAGTATTTGGTTGGGTAAGAAAGCGGGCCACGAGTGGGAAATGGCTAAAATGAAGATGAGGAAGATTTGTTGCTTTGGTTCTCCCAGAGATGACTTTAACATTTGGTTGGAGAGTGCCTTTGGGATGCTCCTCTGTCAAGTTGGGAACTTTTGAGCATAAGGAGAACTGATATATGCTATTTGTATTTTATTACATCTCAGTGTGTGAATTTAAGCAGAAAAAAAAGGGGAAATGGGAATGGTGGTGTGCTGTATGCAATGCYAGGACTCACTTCTGCTGCTGCCACCAGGCTCTCCGACATTTCCAGCTTGCATGAGGCATCTTCCTCACCAACACAGTTTTCTCAGTTTTGGAGTGGTTTGGACAGGCCTTCTTGACTTCAGCAAAACACATAAAACAGAAGAGTGGAAGAATTTATGAAATCCTTGGGAGATGTAACACAGTGCCTTCATGCTCATCGTTTCAGGCTTTGAATTATGTGATTTTGCTGAATAGTATTCATAACTGTACATTTTGAAGTAAATAAATGATAAAAGTCACATTCATGGGTATACTGCTATAATGCTTTCACTGATGCAGAGAAATGCTTGCCTAAGGTTGCTCTGATGATTGTTAAAAGCTTTCATGTCAGTTTGTTACTTCTGCTTCTGCAAAATTCTGAGCTCTCATAGAAACTCTTTGCTTTTGGTAAACAAATGTGGTTGATAATGGAATTGAGGAAGTCTTCTAAACAATGTCAGCATCGGGCGTTGAACCTCTGGTCATCATAACCTGCTGCTGCTGAGTAAAAGAAATAGTCTGTACACACCAAATGCTCCTAAACAAACCAGAACAGTAAATAACATCTGTGAACAATGATCTTGATAGAACACCTGCATTGATATCTAACATCAGTAAAATGCTGGTATGGAAGATAATTTAAAATCCACAGTTATAGGAATGTAAAATGGAGATATTGTTTTGTCTTGTAGCTCAAGAAGCACCAGCCCTGCTGCGGCACCTTACGGATCAGACGGTGAACACCAGTAACTCAGCAATGTTGGAGTGCCAGGTTAAAGGCATCCCAGAGCCGCAGATATCCTGGTTTAAAAACCATGAAGAAATACACGAAGAATCAGGTGAGAGCTCTGTATGCTTCTCCACCTTCTATAACCTTTGTGTTGCACTCCATGTGTCYAGGTAACCATTCCTACAGTCACTCACATTTGCATCGCAAAGTAGGGAGCAGAATTATCTCTCTTCTACAGCTGGGAAGACAGAAGGACAACACGGTGGATCACACCATGTAACTTGAGGACATCTTCCAAGCTATAGGTGCCATGCAGTCAGAGGGAGCAATATGTTTCTCAAATTACATCTTAGAAGAGTCATCTCTAGAGAATCCTATTTCTCTCTATTTGCTAGAGGGGGAGCCTAAGGATTAGGTGTCTTGGCCAGCATATAGCTAGGCAGGATAAATCAAAGCCTGAGTGACACGTGGGTAAGTACCAGAGGAAGTCCATGGCCAGGTGTGTAAAGCTTGCCCTGGATTCATGGGCTTACCACCCAACTAATTCTAAATCTGGGATCCACAAGCAAAACTGATAAGCATCCAGTTGTACCAGAGGAATCTACATTTCATGCGGCAGAAAGTAGTAACTTCTCAGGTGTTATGCTGCAGTTAGACAAAAAACCTCAAGACATGTTTAGTGGTGTGTTCAGATTGTGTCTTCAAAGATCAGTCAAGGCTACAGGTCTAGATCTGATGGAAACAAAATTATGGACGGGTACCTTGAAGACTTTAGAGAAAAAAAAGGTAAAAAAAGATTGAGGAAGGAAAAAGGCAAAACTTTTATTATGAGGATTCACCTGCATCTCAATCAGAACCGTAAATTGAGATAGTCTTAAAGCTCAGCAAAAATGTTGAGATATGTTTCATCTGAAGGAACTTGTATCCTAAGCCTTTATCAGCAATACTTTGGATGTAAGGTTCTGTGTTATTTGAAAATACTATCAAATAAATAAAAGCAACTGGAAAAACCTCTGAGTGTTCACTGAAGTGAGTTATGAACATGTGTAGACCTGCAACGTAGATGCTAAACATAATCTAGAGCTAGATTCTGTGAAGTTTTACACCGACCACATGGTTATGCTGTGTTACTCACACCATCTTCTAGAAGCCGGGCTGTGTTTCTCACTTGGGTGTAAGTGCAACACACGCAAGGTTAGAAGCCAGGAAGATGTTGCTGCAGGACAAGTCAGAGCACTTGAGTTAAGTGCCTGAAATAGATGGTGGGAATACGCTTCAATGGGCYGATAGTTCTGTTTTGGCGCCAAATGCGTAAATGTGTACTTAACTACACGTTTCCTGGCTGTACTGCGCCTTCATGCAGGCCYGAGGCCAAATCTGCTGCTTGTCTCTGTTCCTTGCTTGCTGGAGGTGTTGAAAACTTTGACTAACCCCTAGGTTTTAGACCTAACGGGCCGTTTTTCATATTAGCTGGAGCCCTTCCTAGAAGGGGCCCTGTCACGTGAGCAAATAGGATTTGTAGCAAGTCTGAATTTGTTRCCAGCAAGGCCAAAGTGGATGCGTGGAGCTAGGCCTTGGAAGTGCTCCAAGACTCAGACTACTTCTGAGACAGACCTGCCTTGAGAAGTGTACCCAGACCACCCATGTGTTTTAAAACTGGAGACATGCTGGAGGACTCGTTTGCATGGAAGTCTAAGCGTAGCGCTGTTTGCTATGCTTAATATCAAGTGCTCCCAGGATCACTTTCTTAGGCTGAGGTTTTTCACTCACACAAGTGCTTTATAAACACTGTTTTCCAAAAGTTTCCCAAAACATCCAAGTATATTTGGCTTTCCTGCAGATAACATTGTGCTATGCAGCCTGTGGCTCAGATTTCTTTTGAGAAGAACTTGAAGCAGATATTATTACACAAGTGGTTGTTTTTGTTTATATCCTGGCTCCCACTCATTGCAAAATCTTTCATTTCGCAGGAATAATTTTAGGGCCCGGAAGTCGAATGCTGTTTATTGAAAGAATAAAAGAGGAGGATGAAGGACTTTACCAGTGCATAGCCACCAACTTAAAAGGGTCTGTGGAGAGTGCAGCATATGTCACAGTACAAGGTAAAAAATGATATTAAATGAGAACAGTGCATTTGCCAGAGTGATGTTCTTACTCAAGCTGGAAAGGACGGTGTATGACTTTTGGATTATGTGGTGATCTCTGAATGCAGCAATCTGAAGGAAGTCCTAGCAAGGGAAATGTACCAGGTTGGAAAGGAAGCCTAACAGGAAATGCTAACTCAGAGTGTGTTTATATTGACCTAAAAAGAAGAATTGCTTCAACCCAACAAAGATCAGGTCATGGTAGAAGACAAATGTAAATTTAGTATCATCAAAACAAACAGAAAACAAAATAAAGAACAAACTCCTACCCACTCATTTTCCGATTTCAGGTTAATTCCATAAAAAACAGAGTTGTCAGATATTTTCTTTTTTTATTATTTTCAATGTAAATTGAATGGACAAATTGGATCAGAAGATTTTGTCTTAGCAACAACTATAGATGCATTTTTCTGAGATGCCTAAGAAGTAGGTATTATCGAGTTATCACAGCTACCACTACTTGAGTTATTTTGCTCTTCATTTAGATGTACAGCATTGTCCTCTTGACTTATGCTAAGCTTAACTTAAACCTAGGGCAGCGACTTGTCTCGCATAATACATTTCACATGTCTTTTTGTAAGGCATTTTGACCACTAGGTCCCTGAGGAAGGGATTATGTCCTTGTGGATGTTCTCACACATTTGCTAGATGTGTTTGAAGGCAAAACCTGAATATTGTCCTGTATTGTCCTACAGCAGAAGACAATTACAGCTAGTAAATCRATATTAATTTTCTGCCATAAGTGCCTTAGCATTCTCAGTTAATTGTTGTTGATGATAAAGGTCTTGTTTTGAAAGGTCATGGTTAAGAATATGTGCGTGTGGGCTACCCTAACTGGTATAATCAAGGAGTAAAAAACAACTATCTCCTTATGAATAATACTAAGGTTTTAATAACTATTATAATCACTGGAAGAATGACTTGTCGCCAAGTACTTGCTGTCAAATGCATCCTGATGGGTGATTATTCTGGACAATGAAACTCATTATTGTATTGATTTTTGACATCATTGTATCTTGGATACTTATTACAACCACCAACATTCTGTAGGATGGCCTCTATGGCACATCCTATGGCATGGTAGGATGGCACAAGGAGATAGCTYTATCTCCTTGTGCATGATCCAGAAAAGAGACTATACAACAGCTAGGAAAGCTTCTTCTCCAATTGCATGTCCTGCAGAGAACACAGACATGCTTCTTGCATGATTTCTGTGGGAGCTAAGCAGGAGATATAGTCCATCATGTACTAGAAAATTATAGCTTTGAGACTGGATGGAGAAAAGAGATTTTATTTATCTAGTGTGATTGGGAAAGAAAATGTTTCTTCTCTCCTCCGTCTACACGAATGATCCTGCATGGAGGACTTTATTCACTCATTCCTATGCAACCTTCACGTAACCTGCATATCTGCTCATCTTCAAACAAACTGCAACCTCTCAGTCCATTTTGGGGCCTGGAGTATATGGAATCAGGATTTTAAGATGAGGCTTGCCTGAGACTTTACCACTTCCTCAGCTTTCTTAGAAACACCATATAATTGCAACTGCAAATAACAAAGCATTTCTCTGTACCAATGTTCTCAGAGCGCAGCGCAGCAGATCAAAGGGAACAGAGCAATGCCTCGTGTCTATGGCTGTGTTTAACAGATTGGAAGAGTAGTTTGTGAATGAGTCAGGAAGGAAACTGTCTGCTCTTTTTATTTGCTCTGAAAAAACATTCTTATACTTGCAGATAAAACAATGTGTTATTTTTGTATCAGAGATAGATGAATGGATGGTGGAATCCAAGGGCTGTCTTTAAATAATCACAGCCCTTGTTTGGTTTGGAAGCTCTGCTTGTAGGGCTTTCTGAGGAGAGGAGCRACATTTTTAGGAATGTCAGAGCAAGATGTCCATTTGTTCTTGGCTGAGGAACTGAAAAGGCAACAAATCTCAAAGGAAGGGACAAGAAGAGCAAATGGCTGTCATAGCACCCGACAAGGAAGAGGAGTGGGTTCTTAAATACATATTGATGGGAGCTTTTGGACACAGGAAGTTCAGTCTATCTTGTGCAGCTCATCTTCAGGATCATGCCTGGCCACTAGCTGTTTGCACTGATCTCCAAATAGTCAACTTTTTACCTGAAACCTTCCCATTGCTTCTCCATGTGAGGACTTCTTGCACACTCCCCCAGGAAAGTGTCCTTCACACATCTAGTTACAAAGGTGGAGCACCATCTGAGGTGTATGTGGATGAAGAGCATATTTTACAGATTAAACTCACTTATGTGACGCACATTAAAGTTGATGCYTGACAACTTTATGTGGTCCTTGCTGATGAGAAACAAAAGCGTCATATTTATTAAGCATTCATTCAACTATTCTGGCATTATGAAAAGGGTATTTGTTTTCTATATAGCTACCTGTTTGTCTATCTATTTACCTTTGCATCTCAAAGTGCTGTTTGTATCTTATGGGCCTCTCATAAGGTACAAACCCATGAGTTTGTATGAGTTGCTGAAGTTGCTCAGAATGTTTCTGTTAATTTTATTAAGAATTTCCTCAGTTGCTAAATGAGATTCCACCAGCATTATATGGATAACTGTAAGAGAAAAGGTCCTTATTACTGTACATAAGAGATCCTGTACATCAGGAACTGCTTAGGCTGCTGCATCACAGGTTGGAAGTGAGCTCAGGGCAAGCTCCAGTGCAAAACAGGTCTATCACTGATCCTAGAGTAGATCAGCAACGGCTTTGTCTGGCCAAGTCATGAAAACCTGCACAACTGAAAAGTCCACAGCCTCTTTGGACACCTGTCCCAGTGCTGCACAGGAGGTCACACAGCTAAAGCTGGGACAGACCACACTGGTATAGCAGGTGGTGGTCACTGAGACCCTTTGGATGCAACTGAGAGTGGTCTTGGCACCTCAGATATTATTTTTTACTGGTCTGCACCTGAAACAGAGCTGCACCTGGACCTTCCGAGTCTGAAGTCCTAGCTGTCCTAGTCCAAAGTGGAGAGCACGGCAGCCCAAGGCCTAAGCAGAAGAGTGATCTGCCAAAAGTGTCACTCAAAGCAGATGACCCTGCTCACACCTGAAGGGATCTGCTGGTTAGTTTGGGATATCTCCCCTCGACTCTGGTCAGCAGGAACTAGATTTTACTGAGAGAGAGAGGACATGAAGTAGTGGTGTCTACTGCTCTCTTTCTTGTCTATCCCTGCCTGACTGCTTCAGTCCCCTTCTCCTTGCCCCTCTGTGGTGCTCTAAGCACACACAGAAGTGAGAGAGGGGCCTGGGGGAGGAATAGGGCTGCTTGTTGTAGATGAGGCAAATCTGCACAAAGGGACAAGTCTTTGTGTGGCTGGGGTGGCAGAGGGATGAAAGTCCCCTTGGAGCGAGGCTGGAGTCAGAGATCCTTGGCTACGGTGTAGGGAGACTGAGAGCTCTATTCATAGTCACTCCTAACCTTTTTAATTCTCAGCCCTTTTATGTGTTCCCATTGCTTTCTCATTCCTGTAGACCTCCTCACTCTCCTTCCCTACCTGTTTTACCCCAATCAGATTTTTCTGCTACTCATCTGAGAGGTTTTCAGCCAGCTCTGACAGCCAAGTTTTTCACAAGACTGGCATTCCCAAGTTTAATAACCTACCCCACTTCCAGCTTGGAAAAATGCATTCTTGCTGCCTACAATCCCACTGACATTTCAAAGGCAGACCCTTCACATCATTACCTCCCATGCGGCACACAAGGAGACGTTGGAAAGTTGCTGCCTTTCTCCTCGGCACAGGCTATATTGTATCTCATGGGTTTTGTGAGTCCTGTCATATGGAGCAACAAATGAACCCTCAGTCCCTCCAGGTTTTGCTGAATAAATGTCAGAAACTATTACTTGCCATCTGCATGGATCCTGTTCAGACGCAAGAGAAGAGTATACATATGCAAATGGAAAGCCTGATGCCAGAAGACACGCAAGCTGTATTAGGCTGTATCATTTTTGCCATCATTATGTCCCATATCTAAATTAAGCCTTTAAAAAATACTCATACTTTTGAAAATTTAGCAGCTCGTATGTTGGGGAAATAGATATTGTTTAACCTGCACTTGCTAGTTGCAGTAGTATTTTGGCTTCAACAAGATTTATTCTCAAAGCTCCAGGTTAGACATGCCTGAGGAATCTTAAATATAGGGCATGAACACAAATCTGATTATCACTTTTAAGGAGGGAAGATATTATGCTCGTTAAGCCACAGCTACAGGAAGCAATTCAAGCTGGGAACAAAGCTCTGTAGCCTTGCTTAAAATCAGGCAACATCTCCCTCCGATTAGGAGGGTGCCCACCAGTGAGACATCAATCATCCAGTTTGCATTTGTCAGGAGCTATACGGGGTTTGAAAACGCTGCAAGGGCAGTTGACAAAAACACTGTGAAATCATGTTCAGAATTGCTCCCTGTCCTCTCCTGTGTCCCAGGAGGGGGTATCAGAATAAGAACAGAGCATGAGCATTTTGCATCCACTGCCRCTTGGATGGAGAGAGCACTGTGGGAAGCGAGACGTTTTGACACAATCTGCAAAACTGCTCTGAAACCATTTTACAAGTCCCTAAGAGGCAATCTGAGGAGAATTTTATTTGGGATTTTTTGAGGATCTTTCAGTGAGCTCTAATATTCTCCAGATTTCTCAAGTTCATGTTTTCTTGCCGCTCCATTTTTCTGTGGTTGTTGCTGTTGTTATTTTTCTCCTTCTGCGTTTAATTTGCTCCCCGCTCTGGAGAGCTTTCCTGGCCTCACAGCAGCCTGACTCTGCCAGCTGCTGCTGGGGAGAGGGGAGGTGGGTGCCCCCAGGGAACCTGGGCTGCATCCCAGGAGTGCATCTTGGGGCTGCCCATGCTGCTGGATGGACACGGCACTGAGGACACCTGTGCTCTAGTCGAGCTCAGCAGCTCCRTGCATGACCTGACCCATCCAGACCACAGGAATGAGAGACTGGATTCACTGATGTCTATAACAGCATTACCACCTGGCTTGCTTCACCTCCTGCATCTCAAGGAAGGCTTGAGTTTTTACCAAAAGTACCAAGAGGGTGCTACAAATGCAGCCCCTTTTTTTGCCATGTTCAGTGCAATGGTTTTGTTGAGGAGACCATTTTTTTCAGACTCTGTAAGCCAGGCCAAACACAGATTAATACCCCATTGAAAAGAAACTAGTCCTTCCTGGTATTTTATTTTAATGGCAATCAAAAGTAACCTGCCCCTGTTTTGCAGGTCATGGTCTAAAATGCTTGCTGCTTGGTTTTCCCAGGCACGTCGGAGAGGTCAAACCTGGAGCTGATAACACTGACCTGTACCTGTGTGGCTGCGACGCTCTTCTGGCTCCTGCTGACTCTCTTCATACGCAAGCTGAAGAGGGTAAGACCAGGCTCAGGGCTCCTGCTTCCATCTGCCTCCCTCTATATTGGAAAATTCTTCCCAGACCACTGGGATCACAGAGACCACAAAAAAAAAAAAAGAAAACAAAAAAGAAAGAAAAAAAAAAGAAATAGATTCACTTACCATTGACCGTAGATCACTGTGCAGTTAGCCAAAGGATGGCTGGCCTGGGAAATCGTGACTCAGGGGGCTAAGAAATGAGTGAGCAAAGAGGCAAGGGCTGGTTCGGGAAAAGCGCTGGGGCTCGGGAGCATTGGGTGCCTCATTCCCACCGAAGGCGTTCTCATCCTCCTTGCACCCGTGGGAGTTTGGCATCGTGATGTCTTTGAAGATCTGAGTGAGCACGAATGACAAGTCTTCCCAGAGCCCAGTGAGGTCTGGTTTGTCTGCTGTAATTACATCACTTGCAAAGTGCTGTTTTACTGAGGCATGTTTGGTGGTGCAGTCCCTGCTACAGATGTGGCTGTATCAGCCGGAAAGTGCTAAGTGTCTGTGTGGTTGACCCTACCTCTTGCTCAGGACCARCTGCGATGGTTTAAATCCCCTTTGTACTGACAGCACTTTGGGTGCATGAGCTCCTACACGGAGAAGTTAAACCACAGCAGCTCTCGTGTGTGGGAGATACAAATCTTCACCAYGGTAGGAAGCTCTCAGAGAGACTTAGAGGAATGTTGGAGCAGTGGGGTGCACTGCAGGACGTAGGGCAAGGAATGACTGCACAGACCCCCCCTCCCCAACCCCAAATCTCAATAGTACTGAACCCCCTGTCCCCTCAGCTTTCAGCACTCCTTTGCTCACATGGAATGGGTACCACAGGCTCTGTGGCCTGGGTCACCTCCCAGCCTCCACAATATGTTCCAGCTGGCTTGGCAATAGCTATAAACATTAACTGCAGCCTTCTGGACCATTTTATCTGAACCTGGATTAAGGCCTGACTATATTTTAAGTTCTGCGCTGAGAACTTCTATCACCTGAGAGGAACCAGGACCAGGCCTCTCTAGCAGGGCTGCACGGCAGCAATCGCTCCTTCTGYCTTCCCATTACCAGAGACTTTCCTAAGAAGAGACATAAGGGAGTTTGGGAGAGGGAATAAAACAGAGGTGAGCTGAAACTCTAGGGAAACTTCGCTGCTATAGAGAAACTACAAAGCAAGCAGGACCACTTCTGGCCACTCACCATTAAAGACAGAGCAGTTCATAGCAGGACTGCAAGACTATGAGCTCAATACTTGGAAAAAACATAATGAATTGTTAATTTCTTTTTTTTTTTTTTTCAAAACCTAGCATTTGTGTGTTAGGTTAGATAATAAAAATAWTCATTCTTGCTACAAAGCAAGGAATTTTAAATACATTACATAGTGATAAATCTTTCCAGTTAATGCTCTATGTTTAGGGCTTCCTCTGTGTTTCTGATAGAAACCCTTACTCTTACGGATTTATGTCTGGAATTAGCTCTAAATTAAATTTCATATACAAATGACGTTGCCACAATGGAAACAAACCAAAAAAAAAAACTTTGTGCTCTTTGAGAAACGTCATTTTATTTAAGCCTGCCTGACATAAATACAGAGAAAYAACTGATATACTTAACCCTTCTTTATCTTTCAGAATGTTGTTTCAAAACCCAAACTGTGCCAAAGATTTGGCAAAGAAATGTAGGAACCTCTCAGCATCTTCCTGCTCCTCTACTGCTTTTTCTGGGATTGAWCATCTCCAAAGCTGTTCTAGAGCAAACATTAGATCTCTTATATAAATATTTAATCACTTCTTGTGTCAAGAAAATGTCTAATAGAATAACAGTCTAGATGCTCTTTGAAGGAAAATGGAAAAGGTTTCAAAGTAGATAAGCATGGGCTGTGGAAAACTGAGATGAGATTCATCTTTCCACACTTTCCTCATGTGAAATGGATAATCCATTTGTTTAGCAGAAACTGATTTTCTTGAAAATTCACTTTTAAATCAGCTGTTTTAATCTAGGTATTTATTAATTACACCAGACTCCAATAATTTCAGAAATGACACATAAGAAATCAAAAATTCTAAAAATGTATAAACCATTTGCGAAATGTATAATGTCTAGTCTTCTGGCGGCTATTCTTGCACAACTTCTAACCACATCTGACCTATCTTTGCTGGGTATAAGGAAGAAATAAACACTGGCAGTTGTGCTCCATCTGTTGCATATGGCCACTTCTGGCTTTGCACAATCATGAGGGAAAGTTATTTTTAAGAAGAGTGTTTAGTCATTTTCTGAAAATATTTCTCTTAACTATGCAGAGGGCCTGTATCAAAGCAAGTGAGTTCTTCATTGAAGAAATTGCTATGTCACATATGAGGAAAGGTTGAGGAAAAGGTTTATTTTGCATAAAAAATGGGTTGTAATACTGAAATAAATGAAAAGAAATTTTATCAGACATTCAACTGTGAAATGTACAGCCATGTGGATAGAAATAGCTTGGTACCCTTGATTCAAGCAAAAAGATGCTGACAGGTATCATCTCTTTTTAATTTTGCAATATTCTTTGTTTTATAGCCTTATTCTTCTGAARTTAAGACCAATTACTTGTCCATCATAATGGATCCTGATGAAGTCCCCTTGGATGAACAATGTGAACGTCTGCCTTACGATGCCAGCAAATGGGAGATTGCCAGGGAAAGGCTCAAACTAGGTAATATCAGCATATGTCATGTTGAGTTCGCAGCTACTGAGTGAAAGACGTTTATATCTGTAGGTAAAGGGGAGATGGAGATATTTTAGGCACGCAGCACAATATTCTGCTGGGTTAGGTGTGAGCTATCCATGGGAAGTATTATTTTTCCATGACTAAATTATAGCATCTAGGACTGACTGGCTAACYGCATCTATCTCACTTTCCATATGTGTATTCAGACTCCAGACAGGAAAACTAATATACAGCCAGTAATCACTGCTCTGTATTTTTTTTGCAAACTGAGTTGCTTACGGCAGGGAATCAAAACAGGGCCATTGCAGAGGTTCCTATCGGCCCCTTGACCTGGCAGCTTCTCTCTGCAGAGCCAGGAGCCTGGCCTTTGGCACAGACTCTAAGTTTCTTCCCATGTAAACTAATTAAGTACTCACTTGGAAAAAGGCCACTGCAGAAATGGATCCTCATAGATCTTCCTGTAGCCCTCAGTGTTTCTTCCTTTCCTCCTCTCTCCAAGCCACTCTTTGTTTTCCCTCTGCGCTGCAGATTCGTAGTCATCCTTGTTGGTGCAGCATCAAGTGCAAGGATGCTCTACAAAAGTCCATGCATAAGTAAAGATGGAAACTTTCAGCCTGCAGGTAGCTTGCCTACAGACCCCTGAGTAAAGGGCATGGGTCTGAAAGCCTTTTTGACTCGGTTACTCTACTGTGGTGCTAACTGGAAGGCCAGGAGAGTCAGGACCGGATTTGGGAGTTGCGGCATCTCTCCAGAAACCACACAGCTTTTAACAAGAGGTTAACATTAACATATCAGTGATAGGCTGTTGCAATAGTGCTGTTTGTTCTTTCAGGCATGCAGTTGTACAGCCAGGGCTAGAAAATCCCAGCTTTGTGACGGGGACTGTAACAGATTCCTCCTGTCCTCCAGGGATCAGGGACAGAAGGTGATCAAAACACACATGCAGTTGGGATCACGTTTAATTTGCTCAGTAGAAGTCATAAGGTGATCAGATATGGATAAGGAGAGCTGAAATATATGGCTACTAATTATAGTTTTCCCACACACTTCTGGAAATGCTGAAGCATAACTTTGTTCTGAGTGTCTTCTTTCCTTCAGTGATGGATCAAGAGTTCAATGTGCAGACGATGTGATCTCTGCTTTATATGCATTTTATTTGTGTGTAAATCCCACAGAAAAACATAAATAAATTTTTTAAAAAAAGCAGAAACAGAACGTAAACATTAAGAAAAACCTGGATCTTGCAGGGTTTGTATTTAGAGCTTGGAGGTGAGGAACAATGACCTGAGGACAAGTTAAAAGTGGAAGAACTGGTGTAAACAAGCAAAGAATGCTGACAATGAATGAAAACCAGATTCTGAGAAGCTGGGTATGTGCACTATGCTAGATTAGCTCAGTGCAAGTCCTGCTTACATGGCAGTTGGCTCAGTCTTTGCATAACCTTGGCAGCCTCCTAGGATTAGTGTCTCACAAACACAAAATGTGGTTCTATGTATTCTTTTAGCATATTTTTATTTAGAAATGCAAATCCTTCCAGCATCTGATAGGCTTGTTTTTCTTTTTCCATTATTTATCTTCAAGGATACATATTTACTGTAACCTTTGTAATGTAACTCTCTAGCCTTTTAGCCTCAGCTTTCTATGTTCCTCATGCACACATGCACACAGCCCATTGGTGTGATGCAATGCTTATATAACATGATTTCCCCTTCATCCATAAGAGCTACAGACTCACAGAAAATTTCATATGGGCACCTCTGAAGCCAGGATAATTATCATTCAGTTTAGATTAATGTGATCATCCAGTTTAGGTTATTGTGAACAAGATCAAAATGTCATCTATTCATAAGACAGAAACATTATGGTGCTATAAATCATATTTGTRTGGCTGGGTATAAGCCTATAGTCCAACAAAAGTGTTTATCTACCATGTATTTCTCACCTTACAGTTGGGTTTGACTCATAATTGGTGAGAGCTCATACCCTGCTGAAGCTGTGGCACAGGAGCTTGCAGGATTATTGCTGCATGGCTCCAGGAAGATAACAAACACTGAAGGGGTAAACAGCACCCTGAGCTCTGCTGCCTTCTAACACCCTGCAGATCCAGTGTCTGACACAAATCAGCCTGTTTTTCTTTGCTCTTGATGCAGAGAGCTTTCTATTTAACATAATGGAAAATATGAAGTTTCCACTATGGGGAAAGCTACATGACTCAAACTACATCACAGGAACACAGCAACAAATACACATTTTAAGACTCTGCCTTCCCACGTACAAGGAGAGAGATATCTGCTGGTCCTTTTTCCTAATGCCCCAATCCAGCAACTTACCTGCTTAAGTACAGCCCCATATTTAAGAATCCTGAAATGAAAGCCTGCTGATTCAAAACTCCTTAGTTGAATGGCCTGTTCACTTTAATGGGTTTGAATTGTCCCAAGAAATTGAAATGAAGTGCAGCAAGTTTAAAGAGAGCTCTGTGCTTCCCAGGTCTGGATATAAATGCTGCAACATTTCATAACTGAGAGCTACACAAAACCCAAATGTTGTAGTTGCTTGACGTCTGTGATAAGGCAGCACATCTTCATTTTCTTCTATTTAATTGCTCTATTTAGTAAGTTCATAATTACTTTTTGTGTCAACCCATAAGTAGCTTTTGCATGAACAGTACGTTAGAGCTGGGTTTGCCCTGGGTGCAATCTGCATATTCAACCATGGAGCTCCATCTGTTGATGCTGAAAAGTGGTCCTATTCTACACTAAGGTTTTGTAGGATCCAAAACAATAGAGGAGCAACAAAGAGCAATACATCAAGTGTTATTGCAGTTTCCCATTAAATCATAATTGTTGTTTAGAGAAGGAAGTGTTGTTTCCAGTGCTCATTCTCATTTATGAAAGGCTAGCAGCTTTATGAGCTAACTGGTATGTTTTCCAAGTAGTGACTAAGTAGCCTATCTTGATGAGGGAAGTAAGTTAGCACTAATGGAAACAGATTAAAATTGTGCATTAAACACAAGAGTGAATTTTACATTATCTCAGACTGTAGTTTCACCTCGTACAAACCACAAACTGCCAGTCCACTAAGGACTAGGAGCTCCAATTCACCAAGAAAGTTGAGACCCTGCTGTTAATACTGCTTTTCTTATATGCCTCCTAAGTGAACAAGCAATAACTGGAAGAGCGGGTGACTTGTAGACCTTTAAAATATGCGCTGATTCTCTTGTATTTATATGTCAAACTCTAAGCCCCTCAGGTCCCAATGCTCAACTCTGTTGATGGTTTTCATTCACATAGCTTAAATTCATGGCTTTTATTTTCTGTAATGTTGCAACACTTTTGCGCATCTGGGGGTGAATAATATCCTAGGGGGTGGTTGGTTTTGCATATTCCACTTCATGTTTCCATCATTGCCTTGATGTCATACGCTGTTTGCCTTCTAGCAGCAGACAGAGAATTAGAGTTTAGATATATAACTCACAAAATGCAGTGTCTATTTATTTTAATTTAGAACTGACAGTTCTTTTTGTCCACTTGTGAGTGTCTGGATGGGAGTCGTCTCTCACTTAGCTTTGGATAATATAGATGACTGAGTCAGAGCTGGTCAAAGAGGCACTTTTGAAAATGATTCTGCTAAGATGTTAAGATGTTCTGTTTTCCTGTGTCTATCATAGCATAGGGAAATTGTCCTATCATTATGGCTATGTCACATGTGCATATCTGAGATATATATATGGCCTTAGTGACACATATTATTCTATGGTTTTGTGTAAAAATATAGTCATATTTTCTGCTCTTTTTCTCTACCCTACAAAGTCTGTGGTTTATTTTTGCTAGCCAAGTAGATGCCTAAGTTCTGCTGGAGGCAAAATACAAGCAGAAACTAGGTCCTTGGATTTAAAATGTGTTGCTAGTTAATATGCTGACAAGATCTCTCCAATCAGAACTCCACAGGTCTGGCCTGTCTGTGTGAGAGTTTTAAGAAATTCCCTGCTTCCAACACTAAGGAATCAAGAGTGAGACTGCAGAGATCATAGGATAGGCATTAAGCATCATAAACTTTAAAAAATAGTAATAATACTCCAAGAGCCTAACCTGATTCTGAGCATACAGGAAAAGGACATTCAATTTTACTGAAGCTCATCAAGGGATTTTATTGAGGTTACCTGTTTCTTCGCAGGGACCTCTAGGTGCTTTTCCTGAGGTCTGTGCAGCAGCAGCAGCATGATAAGGATCTCACAGTGGCCGTGTCAGCATCTGCCCTTGGACGTGTGGAGGCATCACACCCATCATGAGATAACCGATGCCTTGTCACTCCATGTCTCGTCTCACTGAATCCCTTCAGAGCTCATTGCACAAGGCTAAGGGCCTCATTTGCTCAGATTTGTAGTTTCTGGCCATTGCCTAACCACAGGAGCTTGTCAGGGAAGTGCATGAGGAGTTTGCAGGCAAAATTCACGGACTGCACTGCAGTCTCCTTGGGATGAAGGTTATCTTAAGGCACATTTTGGGAGAAAGAAGGTTTTCACTTGTGAAAATTACCCAAGTCTGTAGCAATCTGCAGCTTAGGCAGCAGCCACCATATGCTGCAAACGCACCTAGCACTGTCCCAGCCTGCTGCATGGTGCAATGTGCTCGGTAAAGAGGGGTAACATTTTCTGCTAGCAAAGATAAATTGAAAAAAGAGTGTTGGAAGCCAGTGTACATACAGTGTGAATGGCTGCATTTGCTTAGCATCACTTTTAATCATATCATTTATGCTCTTCCATGACTCTGTGACTGTCTTCCAGTTTGTCTGCTTAGTCTTTATACTTTTTTTTWATTTTCTTTTATTCTTTCAATAAAAGAAAAAAAAAAAAACTACCTGATGTGGCAGTTTGTGAATATATTTTTAGCACAGGACATGTTTTCCAATTCATTATCAATTAAATCACTTGCTGATAAGATTTCTTTCTTACCAGTCCCATTTACTTTCTTTTCAGGAAAGTCACTTGGACATGGAGCTTTTGGAAAGGTGGTACAAGCATCTGCTTTTGGAATTAAGAAATCACCAACTTGCAGAATAGTTGCAGTGAAAATGCTGAAAGGTACCTTGCTGCTAAGCTGCACTGAAAAGAAGATGCTCATCAATATCATGTCACACTTCTAATATGATTTTGTCAAAAGAAAGACTGTGTAATGCTATGCTATACCATAAAATCTCCGAAGCTTCAAAAACGTGTGCACCAAGTTTCAGGCCAACTTAAATTTTCCAGTGAAATGGTAAATGGTGGAACTACAAAAAAAAAAAAAAAAAAAAAAAAAAAAAAAAAAAAAAGAAAGAGTAGTATTGCTTTTTTTCTATTTTTTTTTAATATGGTTCCAGTACTTTAAATACTAGACAGAATGGAAGACTAAATTTTGCAGATTCCATAAGGATAATTAGATTTCCTGCATATTCTCTGGTGCATCGTTATGTTATATTGACCTTGTACTTAGCATGTAGCAAAACTAGCTGAAGCATAAGGCATCCACCTTGATTTGACAGCACTTAGGTGGAAGATTCCTTATTTCCTGTGATCATCAGTTTTAATGATTAATCATCCCACTGTTAAAAATGGGTACCTTATGCATAATCTGCATCTGGCTTTAACTTTGGTTCTAACTTTAGTTTTAAAGGTGGTAACTTTAGGACCATTAGATTACATAAAGCCCACAATTTTTTTCTTCATGAAGGTCCTTCRAAAAAGCTGAACAGATTGAGTTGTCTCAGTCTTTGCATTGCTGTGCAGGTGTGTCCTTTCCTAATTATCCGCAGCCTCTTTGCATGGTGGGGAGGATGCTGACCTGGCCTGTGCAAGGCATTTGCCAGTGCTCTTCATGCACCAGGGCTCTTCCTACAGTGAAATCATATTCCAGCCACTCATTGCCCATTTCTCTTTGGAGCAGAAAGGACGAACACCCTAATCAGTTTGAAGAGGGCACTTGGGAAGTCAGCAAACAGSATGATATTTGGTAGTAGCCTGCAGCAGGGGCGGCTCGATTCCCTAATGCAGAGTCTTCTTGGTACCCAGTCCCATGTTTTTAGCTTTTCCTTGTTTATATATCCAAGGATCAGATCTGGCTTTTATTTTTCCATTGCCCTGGGAGCTTATGCTGCATTGCTTATCTGTCTTACTCCTTGAATCCTTCTCAGAGTCATTCTCTGCCAGGACACTTCCCCTGTTGGGTAGGTAAAGTCTGAATCCCTCTTGTTTTCGGCTGGCTGCATTTATTTATACATAGATTGAGTATATGTATCATTAACCCAGTGGCTCCGGGCTCCAATGCTGCCTGTCTGCTTATCAGAAATTCTGTACTTGTTATTGCAAGCCGAGGGAGGGTCATGTGCAGGACTGCAGAACCCAGACTAAAATTGCTTCATCATTTTTGCTCCTTTTAGAGCGTGCCTTATTGATACTGTACCCAGAAAGCTCACTCTGCAGTATTTTGTCAAATGCTTTAAGAGGAGGTGGTACCTGCTACTATGATTGATATCCAGGATCATCTCCAAGGAGGGAACTAGCAGATGACAGTTACAGACCTCTCATCTCCTTCCATGTTCTGAAAGCACCAAAATGCCTCATTGGCTAGTGCCAAATGAACAGATATATTTGGAAAATGGGAGAGAATTAAAGCTTTAGTTCCTGTCCAGACCTTCTAYAGCAGTGGGGCAATAACAATCTGTGATGCTTCCCCTGTTGCTGCCTCACTGGTCCCCACAGGTGGCCTATCTGTCACCTAGGTCACTGCCTGACCMCTACTACCTGAACTGCTTTGCCAACACACAGGCTTATGTGCTGGCAGAGAGGTCTACCAATTTTCTAGGTATATCAGTGGGCTTCCTGTKCCAGCCAGGTGTGTAAGGGCAACAGGGGTTGCCCCTGGAATAGATGGGAGCAGAAGGCAGCCAGAAGAGGTCCTTGGTTGGATTCATACTGCTGAATGTGAGATGTGTGCAGGGGAGATTATAGAATCAGAGAATCATAGAATGCTTAAGGTTGGAAGGGACCTCAGAGATCACCCAGTCCAACCCCCCTGCTCACGCAGGGTCACCCAGAGCATGGGGCACAGGGCTGCATCCAAGCGGGTTTTAAAGATCTCCAGAGAAGGAGACTCCACAGCCTCTCTGGGCAGCCTGTGCCAGGGCTCTGGCACCCTCACTGTTAGGAATTTTTTCCTTAAGTTCCTGTGGAACTTTTGGTGCTTCAGTTTGCAGCCATTTCCTCTTGCTCCACCAGCGGCCACCACTGAAAAGAGGTCACCCCCTCCTCCTCACTGCCTCCCTTGAGGTATTTATAGACACTGATCAGGTCCCCCCTCAGCCTTCTCTTCTCCAGGCTGAACAGGCCCAGCTCTCTCAGCCTTTGCTCATAGGGCAGATGTTCCAGGCCCCTGATCATCCTCGTAGCCCYGTGCTGGACTCGGTCATAGCTTTGAAAAGTTACAGAAAACATCCTGATTAGAATGTATCTGAAACTTTAAAATACATTTTAATTCATAGATAATTTCCAAATAAGTGAGAAGTCAATGCTTATCTGGTGGCCAGTTTAATTATGTCTCCAAGAGAAAGGTTTCCATCCTGTGCCCTGGAGAGGCCCCTTCTTCCAGTGGGTGTGTTGCATTCCTAACACTCTTTTGCTGAGGTGATGACATTTTGCTCTTCTGCGAAGAGAGCCTGCGATGACTATGTAGACATCTTCCCTGTTGTCATCTGAAGTTAGGTGAGACTTGTCCCATTCTTTGTATCCTCACTAGATTATCTAGGATTATCACAGCCATTCAGGGGCTTTGTCCTCACCTTATTACCATGAGGTAGAGGAATGTCACCACCTATAAAGGTGAATAGGGTGTTGCTGGGTTTGTGACATGCTTTGTGTAGGGTCACCAAAACAACCAGTCAAACAAACAAATGGTTTCCCATCAGATGCTAAAACCAAGCCTTTTAAGACCTACCTCCATGTTATTTCCACTTTCTGCTATTCACTGTCACTAAACTGAAAAAAAAAATCTTTCCAGGTTTACCCAAATCAATATTATTTTTTCTTGTTTTCTTACCAAAATGAAATTAAAAATCATTCGACACCAAACAGAAACTTTGGAGTTTAGTTGTGGGCCTTCTTATATCACTGCTATTATCTATTACAATTAATTACAACTAGTACGGTGAAATTTAGTCACCTAACTATAGGTTAAAAGTTCAGCTGCCTGGTCTAGGCTAAAAAAATCCAGGCTTCCTGTATAATGCACAGAATCAGACAAACATTACCAAAGGCTGGTTCATCTCTTCCTGCTGTAGATGGCTAAAGCTGATAACTCAACCTCTGCAAATGCCTTGCTCTTGCCACTAACTTGTTAAGAGCTTGATTAGCTCAGGTTAGTACCTTACCTTCAGCCTTGAAATGGCTGAAGTCAAGTCATCTGAAATCTACCCTAGATTGAGTTAATTAAAGAAGTCTTGAAAAGCTTTTTATATTTTTTCTTTCATTTTTTTTTTTGGCTGAAACTACAAAACTATTCCTGTGGAAAAAAAAAAAAAACCTCTCAGTTCTAAATATAAAAGAATCTCCTGGGAGGAAGTTGAGTGTCTAATTCTTTTTATGGGTTTTATTGCAAATAAGAGGATGCTGAGCAGGGAGGAACAGAAAAAGAACGCAAGACACATGGAAGTACATCCAATAATAGGCATTATCCCATTGGAAGGTGATAAGAAGYGGTGTAGCTCAGCAGGACCAGTACATTGCCATTTCATATTTACCTTACTTTGCATTTGCAGAAGGGGCCACAGCAAGTGAGTACAAAGCTCTGATGACTGAACTGAAGATCCTGATCCACATCGGTCATCATCTCAATATTGTGAATTTGTTGGGAGCTTGCACAAAAAATGGAGGTAAAAGAAAGTGTGCACTGCACTGAAAATAGGTGTGAATCACGTTGGTTGGCCACATTGTTTTTTGTCCATTAACTTGAAAGATGAAGTTACTGAGTTGAAATATTAGAGCTCTTTTTCTACTTGGTGACAAAGAGAGGAAAATAGATTTCTAGTCATCCTACAAAATGATTAAACCTTTTCCCTATTTAAATGCTCTTTTTCACATTTAACATCAATGTGAATTAGGGGCCTTTCTCTCTCACCTCCTTGCTGAGCTTATATTAAACCTGATCTGATAAGGGTAGGAACAAGGAGTTCCTTGTGATCAGCTGTTGACTCAGAAAGATGAATTACAAGGCAACTTTGGTAAAAACCTTCAATATATTTCACTAAGAAAATTAAAGACCTCATWTTAGATATTGTTTCTTTCAGATACGTCACCTATTTTAGTTTAATAAGCATGTGTGGTCTGAAGGACTCCTGTCTGCATTAAGATTGCTCCGAAGAGGAGCATGTTCCATGCTCACCTATGTGAATCCATGTTCATTACCCAGATTTCAAAAATTGATCTCTGCTCTAATTTTCAGAAACATGCCCAGTGCCTTCAATATATATTTTTTTCTCCTTTATATTGCTTTAAGCTACTCAAAAGGCATTTTCCTTTTTACCAGGGCCTTTGATGGTGATTGTTGAATACTGCAAGTATGGGAATTTATCAAACTACCTGAAAAGCAAGAGGAATTTTTTCTGCTCCAGCAAGGTAAGGAGATGTCCTTAATGTAGATGTCAGCCTCTGAGCTTGTCACCTTAGCTGCTCTTACAACCAAAAGAGAGAAATAAGTGGGTTTGGGTTCAGTTCACCTGACCTCTTTTAAAAGTTTGGTGTGGGACACATTGTGCCAAGAAAGGGCTCATTTTTTTCCACAAGGCGTGCAAGGAGCCTGATGTGACTAATTCAACTGGAGACATCTCCAGTGAGAGGAAATGAATCCAGTCCAAAGTGTCCCCACATGCTCTCTCCCCTCTGCTGACAAACCCATTCCTGCTGAGCTCGGGTCACTGCAGAGGCCTGTGTCAATGGAGCCGAAGGAAGTGGTTTTGCCCACTGAATCCGGCACCGCTGGGAACATGATCGAGATAATGCCGTTTACAGCTAATGCTCTGAGACACCCTAATGTTCAGAGATTTACAAATAATCTTATTGTGTGAGGAGAAGGGCTATCAAGAATAAAAAGAAATTAGAGCTTTGTCCTCACATCCCACAACCCTCTGGATCAGATCATCTCTGTGCTCATTACTGCAAAGCTGGACATACGTGTGCCAGTTCTGTCTGTGCTTGTKCAGCAAAATCCCCCAAAGAACTGAGGGATCTGAAGTAGGGTTGAGGAGCCTAGAGCTAGAACTGTCGTCCTTAAAACCCATACTCTGTTGGGCCAAAAACTCAGAAGCTCTTATTTTTTGTTCCTAAGAGTTCACAAACTCTACTGTAGAGCATAACTGGGAGGACCTCTGTCTTCAAAAGACTCTGGCTGAGCCTATTCCCAAGGTTGTCYTCACTGGACTCTACATGACAAATTACAACTCTTTCAAAATATGGTTGTTTGTGGATCAGCCAGTATCTGGGGATCAGCAGCTCCATGGGCAGCACAAATGTGACCCTTTCCCATGAGCATTCACACACTTCCCTTCTGGTCAGGGGCCACCTTGACTCTGTGCTCCGGTGCTGCTGGGGATGAGGTCTAGCCTAGGGGGATGGAGTGGTAGGCTCAGGAGGCTGAGGTGTCCAAGGCCCAAGGAGAAAGGGAGAAGGGGCAGAGACATGGCCTACCGGTGAGGCTGCTTTCAAGGCAGCAGTGGGAAAACATTTTCCAGGGAGTGTTGCATGTTTCCCATTAAATCCTCATTGACTGTGTCATGGAGCCACTGGAGAGAGGTGGTGGGAAGACAGGCAGTTTTCCCACAGCGGCCACACTTGACATAGTTCAACACAGAGAGACCAGACTGGTGAGCCAAGTGGGAGATTCAGCTAGCACATGTCACTGGAGAGCAATTTTTCCTGGTAGAAATAAGGCAAAAGTCTTGTTTGGTCCATACCCTGGCCCCTTTGCAGCTCTGAGGCCGCTGTTTCTCCTCTGTTTGAAGGACTCTGTGCAAATAGAGCAAATGAAAAAGGATGTGGAGCTGGTAGAAGGCAAAAAACAAAGGTTGGGCAGTGTCACCAGCAGTGAGAGCGTCGCAAGCTCGGGCTTTCAGGAAGATAAAAGCCTGAGCGATGTGGAGGAGGACGAGGAGGGTAGGTATTAATTCCTTCCTGTCACTACGCGGTCTGTGATATTTTTACAACATACTGTGCATCCCTCAAATTTTTTTCCTCATTTATCACCCTAATAAACATCCGTGGGAGACACTCACAGGGTCGTGTCTAGCGGGTAGAAGATTTAAAAAAAGATTATTTCCAGGGTTACTAAATCTGACAGGAAAATGTGTGATTGTTTCTTCTGACTGCCCCCTTATCTTTGGGGAAAACACAGCAGTGTCCAAAGTGCGGGGTTTAAAGCAAGCACTATTTTTGTTTCCCGTGACAGCGGGTTGACCTCCAAATACTACTCGACAAAGACTGGATTTATGGGAATAGTAAGATCAGTAGGAGAGGGGGAAAATAGCTGCCTTACAGGCAACCTTTACAACAAACGGTGCGTTCAACTGTTTTCAGACTCCAACGAGTTCTACAAGCTGCCCCTCACCATGGAAGACCTGATTTCTTACAGCTTTCAGGTGGCCAGAGGCATGGAGTTCTTGTCCTCCAGAAAGGTTAGTTTTATGCTTGGGATTTTTTTGCTGCGGAAGAATCAGATTCGAAGGTGAAATCATGTCTACATTTTAGTGACACCTTCCTTGGTAGAGGTCCCAAAGGAAGAGCAGTTTTCCTYCTGGTGTTCTAAATATAACGGTGTGTTTATGAGAGTCTTCGTGCTCCATAAACACAGGATTACAGTGGAAGGCAATGGGTCAAGCTAATTCATTCAGAGAAGTTCTTTTGGGTGTTTTCCTTTTTTTTTTTTTTCAGTTTCTACATGCCTTACCTATGGCACCCCAAACAGCCCGGTACTTTCCCTAGAAACACCAAGGAGCTTCAATATTTATGACTTTCTGGATTGGAGAAATACTTTCTGTAAAGAAGTGCCACTGTTTACAGTAACTTCATGTAAACTATTGTCAACTTCCCTAAAAAAATATTACATTGATATCTCAAATAATAATAATAATTCCAAAAAGGATATGGGAGAGAGTCAGGAAATTTGTGGGCAGGATTAAGGAAATGCAGCTTGATTGTGAAACTGTTTTATTATAGTGTATTCATCGTGACCTGGCAGCCAGAAACATCCTTTTATCTGAGAACAATGTAGTGAAGATCTGTGATTTTGGCCTCGCAAGAGATATTTATAAGAATCCTGATTATGTGAGAAAAGGAGACGTAAGTCAAGATGCTGTTTATTTATCCAGTTGTTTATAACGTATCATTTCAAGCTGTCCACCAAAACGTTCTGTAGACTTTTACATTTCCTGAACTTAAAAGAGTTTGAAAGCTATCACAGTTTTTATGTGAAGATGAGCAAGCCGGATGCCTTTGTGTATCCAGCAGGCATTTCTCTCCTCCACCTTAAGGCCTGGAAATGCTAACCTTTTCACAGTTCTCGTCTTTCAAGACTTTGGACATTTTTACATATTTATTTCTTGGCTGGCACTGCAGTGCGCTTGTAAGTATTGGCCCTTAGTAATTTCTTGGCCCTTAGTACGTGAACTGCCTTTTGGAAATGAGTCACAGAATCACAGAATGGTTGAGGTTGGAAGGGACCTCCAGAGGTCATCTAGTCCAACTTCCCTGCTCCAGCAGGGACACCCAGAGCACGGGGCACAGGGTGGCAGCCAGGCGGCTTTGGAAGATCTCCAGAGAAGGAGACTCCACAACCTCCCTGGGCAGCCTGTGCCAGGGCTCTGTCACCCTCACAGTGAAGAAGTTCTTCCTCACATGCAGATGGAGCTTTGTCCCTGCAGAAGAAGGTGTGTATCTCCCCATGTATCCACACTGTGAGCCAAGAATGGCTCAAGACCAGAAAAACTTGCTTCCTTCGGAATCTATCTGACCTTCTCACTCTCGCAGTAAATAGCAGACTGTAATTCCATGGGTCTGCAATGAACTCCAGATCAGCAAAATGTGCCTGTGCCCACAGATGTCCAGGGAAATTGGGGAGGAATTGGGATTCATGCAGAGCACCTCCTTCTGGATGTCTCACTCATCTGCCAGCTACTCCCTCCTCTCAAAGAGCTTTAAAGTCTTAGAGCACTGCATAAAAGCTGTGAACCATTATTATGTTATTCGCCTTACTTGGGTGATGCTCAGGAGACTCTCACAAGATGCGCTGTGGGGATGGCATGGGTTGCTGATGTGGTCCTGGAAGAGATGGCCTGCAAATTTGCCCATTTTTGATACTATGACAACAAAACCTACAGCTGGGGTAGGGTTTTCTCCCTAGTCTGGTGAGAGACAACAGTTCTGCCTTATTCCCTGAACACTGMAAAGAAAAGAAAGGTCTAGTCACTCTTATCACAGTTCCCCCCTCCTCTTTTTTTTTTTTTTTTTGGAACACATATGTTAAAAATGTATTTAGGAAGGGGAAAACAGCCTTTTATTCTGAAAATCTGTTAAGGTAGGGTCTGAATGACTGTGAGTTTATTGTCKGTAAAGAAATCCCACGGGTTCCTTCTTAAATGGTAATTATTTATATAACAATATATAGTTGATTCGGCTACGATTAAATTCTTTTAGTCTTTGAAAATAATAGTAAGGTTTCTCCACTTCGTTTCAGGCTCGGCTTCCTCTCAAGTGGATGGCTCCAGAATCCATATTTGATAAAATCTACAATACAAAAAGCGATGTGTGGTCATATGGGGTATTGCTGTGGGAGATATTCTCCTTGGGTACGTTACATCTGATGCTGGGGGATGCAAGCAGAGAAGAGGGTTGCAGCAAGGACTTGACCTGATGATCATTTCAGTCTGTGGAAAAACATCCATTAATTGTAAAGGTTTTTTTGTCATGGCTTGAATAAGGAAAAAACTAAATCAGGCATCAGTGGAGTGTGGGGATAGAGGGGGAAATTGTGGGTATCACAGTGAAATGAGAAGTTTAATGCCTGTAACACCACTGGAGAGAACAACCTTGCCCAGCTAAATGAATGACAAAATTATCTGAGCTTTTTGCACCTGTTTCTATCATGACCCAGGCTTAAATTTCCATCTCCCTGCTGTAGAAACCCTCGGTGTGGATGCACCGAGGGCAGCGGCCTGGGCAGTCTCAGTGCTTGACGGATGGAGCTCGGGGTTATGGATGGCCTCAGCATCTGATGAGAAAATACAGCAAATTTTTGAGGTCTTGCAATGCAACAAGGAGCCTGTGGGACTTACCCAGCTTTGCGCATCCAAGGCTCCGCACTCCAGGGTTCCCAATTCTGGCAGATTTGCAGGTGCAAGCGGCAGCCAGGGCTGACAGCTCTTGCTCGAAGGAAGGCAGCGCACTCAGGTGTGTGACTGTGGCACTGAGTGTGCAAGGGAACAAGGGCTGACCCTAAATCCAAGGCTCAGAGGCCACCCTCTCTACCTGGGTGGACGCTGCCATCCCTCAGAAGCTGCTCCGTTCCTCCGCGGGAGCAAGGGAGCACCGAGCTGGCAGCACGAGCAGCTCTTTGGACACCTCGCAATGTGCTGCGGGCAGGCGGGCAGTGTGACAGCGCGTGTGACTCCCTCCCCTTCCACCCTGCGCACGAGCCGCGCGGCGGCCGCGAGGAAACCGCGAGCCAGATGCTGCCACCGGGAGAACTGGAGCGTGGAATCCAAAATCCAAACCCCCAGCATGGCCTTTTTCCTTTTTTTTTTTTTTTCCCCCTTTTTTTTTTGTACACCGGAGAAGCAGGATGCAAAATGTCCACTGGAAGGGAACAACAATGACCGTCATAACAGAAGAATCTTAATTGGGTTCAGCGCCGAGGCTGACAAAAGGGGAGAACGGCGGAGGAAACAATACTGTACAATCCCCAGCACAATCCATCATTTATTAGTGCAAAGGCACATTGCTGGCCACGCTGCCAGCTCGCCGGATTTTACGGTGCACCTCACAATCTCAGCTATTTTTTTCCTTAAAGTCCCAGCTGCTGCAACCTGGGGACTGACTCTTGCTTTTTTATTGCTGCTGTTGTTCTTTCTCTTTTCGCTTTGCTCTTGGATCAGTTGGGAGAAAAAAAAAAAAAGGCGTACGGCATAATCAGGCTGATAATCTTAAGAGTGCAGAAGCTAGAGAAATAATGCAGATGCACTATGATTTGATTTTAAACCATTATTTAATTATTTTTTGAGCAGCTGTTGGGCATTTGGGATTTGTTAATACCATGCTTGCTAGAATTCAGGGTCATCCAAAACACGAAGAGTTGCACAGAGACTCAGATTTTGTTTAGGGATCATTTTTAAGCCAAATCCATTTTTATTTTCAACATTTAGTTGGGTAAATGCCCTGCTGCTGCTGCCCAAGGCCCAGGTTTGCAGTATCAAAAGTAGACGTGGAGCATCCAATCCACCATTTACCTGGTTTTACCTGGGAAMCCCCTGGTTTTTCCCATAGCATCTTACCCAGTTAACACCATGTCCACCTCGAGGGCAGGGATGTTCTCCCCCTCAGCTCATGAACCTCCTTTCTCTGCCGTTCCCAGGTGCCTCCCCTTACCCCGGAGTCCAGATAGACGAGGATTTCTGCAGCAGGCTCAAAGAAGGCACGCGGATGCGGGCGCCGGAGCAAGCCACAGAAGAAATGTAAGCTGCTTTTCCCTGCCTGCTGGGAACGCTGCACCTCTCCCCTCCTCGCTGCCTTGCAGGTCGGCTGGCATGGGGGTCTCTGCAAAGAATCTTTTGCACAAACATAAGAAGAAATAACCCACCGTGGCCTCAAATCTTCCTGTTGAAATCCTGTTCCTTGCCCATGGAGGCAAAGGGGGTGACCCACTATGGAGGCTGTACCCAGGGCTGGACATGGGACTGTGGTCATGGGTAGAGGCCGGGCACAAGGAGGTCGGTGTCTCCAGTCCTTCATAGCCACCTGGCTTCTGCTTTAGGATATGGAGAGGCCTGTTCCTAAGTAGCTCGGGGGAAGCACCAGGACAGCCACAGGCCAAAGAACAACCCAGCGGAGGAAGGTTTCTCATTCCCATCCAAGTTTATTATCCGTTGACATGCACGGTGRTAAGTGCTGGAGGAATGCGGCGTTAGGAGCGTTTCCTTCGCTTAGGAAGTGACACCGACGGCCTCCTCGCCAATATGGTGGCGCTGCGGGCCCACCCTTTCCTGGAGACGGCCTCTGATGGCCGGGGAAGGGGACAGGGACCCGCAGCTTCCAAAACCGCCCAGTCTGCACCGTTTCTGGCCTGGGCGTCCAGCAGCTCCATGGGCCGCTCCATGCATCCTGCTAGGAAGAGCGGCTGGGCCTCCCCAGAGGCTCCCGTGCGACAGGGCCGCCTGTGGCATTTAGGAAATCTAACGTGTGTTTTACCTCGTCAGGCAGAATTAAATACACGTAGGCATCTCTGGTGCCTTTTTGAGTGCTACATCATGGCTCTAAATAGTAACACTTCCCAAAAATAACACTCTGGAGGAAGCAMAAGGATGCGAGCCAGCCGCACCGTAGCGGGGAGTGTTATCCACTGGCTAATTTTATTATCCTAGAGTCAGTTGATAAGAGCTTTTTTTTTTATTTTTTTATTTTCTTTTTCTTTTTTCTCTCTTCCACATATTTTATTGCAGGAAGGAAAGCTAGACTCAACCAATACAAGGAAGTGACACATTCATATAAGTCATCTTAGGATGCCTTAACTTAAACACTGCCAGTTAATAGATGTTTTATACAAAGGCTTAGTGTTTAATTAGGAATAAAAAAAAGAAAGAATGATGAGCAGGCTAAATTATTCTTCTGAAGAGGGCTTCCTGGTGTCCTGTGGGAAACATTTGCTTTCTTTTTGTTGAAAACCGCTGTTGAAAACTCTTTTACTTTAGCAAGAAGCCTCAGCAGTGCTGGGGAACATCTCTGTAAAATCATCCCAGCTCAGGAGTTACYGTTATTGCTGGTGTCACAGAATCACAGACTGGTTGAGGCTGGAAGGGACCTCTAAGGATCATCCAGCCCAACCCCCTGCTCCAGCAGGGACACCCAGAGCACGGGGCACAGGATGGCAGCCAGGCRGGTTTGGAAGATCTCCGGAGAAGGAGAYTCCACAACCCCTGTGGAGATGTGGATGTGCTGGCAGACGCTGAGCTGCCTTGCATCACACTGAGCTTTCACCCACCACGTGCTCCTTTTCTTCGGCTGTCGTAGCTACCAAATCATGCTGGACTGCTGGCGAAGCGATCCCAATGAGCGACCGCGGTTCTCCGAACTGGTGACAAAGCTGGGGGACCTGCTCCAAGCAAGCGTGCAACAGGTAGCAAGCACATACCCAGGTGTCCTGGCCTCAGCGAGGGCTACGGCGTGCACGTTCTCAGGAATAATGCTTTGATTTCTTTGTGTGCATTTAGGAAGGCAAAGACTACATACCCCTGAACACCATATTTACAAGTGAAAGCGTGTTTCCGCCTGCGCCTGTTTCTTTGTGCAACGAAAACACATCTGTTACAAGCTCAAACTGTGGAAGCACTGAAAATGTCAGGTAAGAGATGCAAGACAAGGACAGGGCTCGCTTCTTTGTTCTGTGTTGCAGCTTGTTGCATTRCCTGCTTTGAGCCTGGCTGTGACAAAACAGCCAGAAACACTGCACACAGCCTGATTTTTCCAACATCTCTAGTACTGCGTTTGAAACATGTTAAATAAAAATAATAATAGTAAGAAAGAAGAATGAGAAATATTTTTTCTCGCTCAATTTCAAAATGCTAGCTTATCTTTTACACGCACCCACACACAGGTGCTGGCCCCAGCGAGCCCTCTGTGGGGCTGGGCTGAAGGGCCTGGGCAGCCAGGATAGGCTGCTGAATGAGGTGAAGTCTTCATAAAAAGYCCCATTTGTATAAAATACTTTGGTGATCAGTGGAGCAAATACTTCAAGAAAAAGAGAAATAACCAGGCACTGCACTTCATGTTCTCACAAGGAACCTCTCTCCCTTTTCTGTTGAACAGATACATAAACACTTTCAAACTAAAACCACCGCAGCGCATAAAGACATTTGAAGAGCTTCCCATCAAGGAAACATTTGCATTTGATGTAAGTGATTCTTAGGACAAATAATATATTATTCTTGTCTTTCCACATGCGTGACAGCTGCATACAAAGAAGACCAAGACAGTGTTTTGCTGCTTTGCCAGCTCTGCTGCAGTGCGGTGCAGAATTAGCCATACCTGCAGCACGGTGTTATCCCATTGGCCTTCAAATGGGTGACGGTGGGTCCTCTACAGGCTGTGCCATGGGCTGCAAACACTCCTCCCTTGCTAAGAAATGGCCACTGCCAACAGCCGGTCAAGGAATGGCTGCCAACATCTCCAGTTGGGTCCTAGGATTGTAGAAGAACCACTAAAAATCACTTGGATTCGCCCTTCTGAACATGAAGGCAAAAACAAGTACTGTGGGAGGTGCCATGGGGCAGTCACTGGAGGAAACTGTGTAAGCTTCACCCTGTTTGCAGACACATTTAATGCTCTGTATTGGCATTAATTAATTAGTTAATTAATTCCCAGGTATCATGGCCCTTAAAGCAGGCAATGATCTGTTTTACAGATCTCTGAGCAGAAATGACCAAAATGCTGTGAATTTCACCAGATAGGAATTGACTTCATTAGAAAAGTAAGTTCCTACAATTAACACCTAATAGGGTTGAGTCTTTTCTTCTTTCTTCCAGGATTACCAGGCAGACAGTGGGATGGTGCTGGCCTCAGAGGAACTGAAACGCTTCACATGGACAGACAGCAAACAGAGACGGACGCTCTTCGGGTCTGTATTCATGCCCCTTTCCTCTCCTTCACACGTTAGCAGGCAAAGGAAGATCCAAAGTCCTTGCACTAAATCAGGCCTAACAGAAGGTGCCCCCGTCTCAGCAAACGTTTTTGCTGACGTGTGTTCTGCTTAGCCGAGTAGTTCAATCAGCCATGAGAGCCCCCCTCCCTGCGCCTTACACATCACAAATCACCCCCAAGCCCCTGGGGAACATCATTGCTATGATTTATTATCACTCTTCAGCAACCTACCTGGTCTCACGCTTAGTGCCAGGCCAGGCAGCGGCGCGTTAGCTGTAGGAAACGAGCCCTTGGTGAGGGGATGGGGGGGACGTGTGGCTAAGGAGGATTTCAATTCTCTCAGTGTGTCCCAAAGGGCACCCCAGCTGTGACGAGGCTCCCAGGGCTTGTTTTTTGCCCTTCTTTTCCATGACTCAGCTCCGCGTAGCCCATTTAAGGCCCACGGGCTCAGGATGCTAAAGTGGCAACTTGACAATAGAGGGATGTGAGGGCCTCATTTCTCTTCCTGCCTTTAAGCGCTTTAATATATTAGCCACCTTCCTCCRCCTAATTCCTGACAGCTGCCCAAGCAGGGAGCGGGGGCTGCTCCGAGGAATGTGCTGCTCCAACATGAMCTCCCTGCGAATGGGAAGTGTTTGTTTTCCCAGTGCCGACAGTGTCGCAGCTCCCGGGCCGGTACGAGGCGGGCGGCGTGTGAGGCTGCTCTCGGCCTGCCCGGGGGCTGCCCGGCCCCAGCAGATCATTCATCCGAGGCCGGCATTAGGTCAAGGCCACCCTGCCTGGGCTGCATTGCCCCCGACTCTGGGTGTC